GCGCTCATTTCCACCTTCATGTCGTATTTCCCACTTTGGCGGATCTTAAATACTATTGGTTCTCTGTATCTTTTAGTATGTTAATTTGTAACGCTTCCCGAGGATAATTTATTGCTGTATATATACGTTTGATTTGTGCCTGTTATTATTGCTCGTGCTTCTGGCTGCTCACTAGTGGCTGGCTTCAACAGGTATTTCCTGTAGTCCTAGTGAGAAGCAGTGACCGGTGGAGTTCAACCAGGTCTGTTGTGAGATAGTAACTCACTGATGACAATGGTGGATGTGTCGCTTACTTTAGTGGATTAGTTGAAATTAGACATTAACACTGTTGGATGTCGTCTCAGTGGTCTAGTGGTTAAGCGCCTGGCGCAAGAATGATAGGTCCTGGATTGGAATCTCGCGGGGTGTGGGATCGTAGTTGCGCACTGTTGAAGAATCCCACAATAGAACGAAATAGCCGTCCAGTGCTTCCACGTTTTCCATGGTGGTTTAACTTCAATTGACTCATGATCTCAACTATTAAAATTAATCATTAATCAGTAAATGTTTATATGATTCATTATTGTATAATAATCATGATATCATTTGTTTATAATGAATAATATTTAGATAATATGGCAATATCTAACTGAGAAACTAATCATTATGACGTCATTTATTTGTCTAATATGTTGCCTACATTGAATTTGAATATGGAAAAAACAACAACCCCTTACCCCCGAAACAAAACAGATTAATCATTTTAAAGAATAAATCTAATATACATAGATGATTGAGAGAAAAAAAGCCACATTCCATATATGGACTTGATTGGAGACAGTTTCACATGTGATTACAGTGAAGTGAAATGAATAGTATGGGATTATATTTTTTTATAAATGTATTCGTTACCTGTGTGAATATTATGCTGTATGTACTACTTATGTTGACATGAAGTAGTATGTAACGATTGTCAGAATTAGAATGTTTGGCAGTAGGGAGGTCGAGAAGAAAAGTACTAGTATAGAACTCAGTTGATATGAAAATGTAGGAATAATGAAGTTTGAGACAATGGACTGATCACAATTGATTGATCACTGTGTGGTGATCACTTTCATGTGCGTCAAATCCTTCTTAGTGTAGATCGAATGCTATCGACCACGTTGCACAGTCAGAGACGTGAAGCTGGATGACACGGGGTTGAATCCGTCAGGGAGCACCAGTTCCCTCAATATTATAGGTACCCCTTACTGATCAGTGCCAAGTAGCATGAAACCTGTGTTCATGGTTTTCTGTTGACTACCTCCAACCACTATCTAACGATGGACTGATATTTTGCAAATGAAGTATTCATTGTATGATGTATAGTGGCTAGCAGTGAAATCCTGGATGAGCATTTCGTCCTATTTGGGACTCGTCAGCTGGATGTATCTGAATCCCGAACAAGCTTGTGACTTAAGGCTACAGCGAGGCAATTCGCACAGGGTGCACATATTTCAACATGAGACTGATCAATTGCGGTCCTAAATAACAACGGAAAGATACAATTCAAACAACATCAAGTAAACGTATTTACTGTGTGGTTTTCAGATTCGACTATCTCTACTTGTGTTCTTGTTCACACACTTATTGTACAACAGTTAAATGATGGTCGACGGCAATGGCTGAAAATTCACTAGATGTCTGTTCAATGATATTAAACTTCTACATGTCCACTGATAGTTCACTTGGTATATTTTTGATATTAGCTAAATGAGGGTAGGTATAATTTAAAAGACTTAGTTATGTGGAAGTGATGAGAAAGAATTGTAACTCAAGTCGATATATGAATTATTCGTATTTGTTGAAGTCACAAAGTGGAAAACGATCAATCTAACAGAGAAGTATTACATCAAGTAGTAATGTTGAGTGTGCTACTTATTTCGAAATAAGTAGTATATAACACTAGTCAGGAATAGAATGTCTGGTAGCAGAAAATCAAGAAAATCTAACAGGAAAGAATGTGAACAGAAAGCAAAGGATATGAAAATGCAGGGATAGTGAGGTCTCGGACGACTGACTGATATTTTGCATATGAAGTATTTACTGTACGGTTCTGAGATTTTGGTAGGATGTTCTTTAATGTTGTGTTCAAACACGTTCAATTGACCTCACTTGTGTTCTCGTTCACTACAAACGTAATTTGTGGAAATAAATAAATTTAGAAATCTTTTGTCAGACTTTACAACCAGTTACAAATAGAATTCTATTATTAAGGTACTGGGTTTGATATTCAGTGAGAACATGCAACTGACTAATGACAAACAGAGTGGAATCCAAGTGACAGATTGTATTGCTAGCAATAGTTATCAAAATGTTAAATTAAAATTGACTTGTGGATGATCATGTTCTATTGTACTGAGGTAGATACCTGTTTCTACCCGACACCGATTAGCTCCACTGGTCACGGCTTCTCACTAGAATTCCCTCACGAAGCTAGTCACTAGACATTAACACCATTGGATGCTGGCTCAGTGGTCTAGAGATTAGGTGTTCGCGCGCAAGACTAAAGACCCTGGGTTCGAATCCCGCTCTCGGGATCGTGAGTACTCACTGTTGAGGAGTCCCATAATAGGACGAAACGGTCATCCAGTGCTCCCAGATTTCCAATGGTGGACTAACATCAACCGGTTCAAGATCTCTATCAAAAACTTAATAATCTACACAACCCCATACTGATAATATCCGGCTTTCCATTGAATCTGAAATTTGATTCGGTAAGACGTCAAGAATAATGTGAGGGATTTAGACCAGATAGTGTCATTGTAATTACCCTCATTTTCTCCAACAAATTAGTATATTAATTGTTAAATGATAAGTATTATCTTGACTGGTTTACATGTTTCCACTTGTTTTCATGTAAATGAGTAATTTATAAGTTACTAGTATCCCGTACTAATAGGAAAAAAATAGATGGAATAAAAAGGTTGGTTTATAAATTTTAGATAGAGAAATTCATCAAATGCATATTAAACCTTCATTGTTGAATTTACTAGTTGATCTGAGTTAGATAATCACTAAAACCCTGCAAGCACTGGACGGTCGTTTCGTCCTAGTATGGCACTCCTCAGCAATGTGACCCAGGACCTTTGATCGCGTTCACGGACGCTTAAGCTCTACACCACTGAGCAGACCTTCAGTGATCTCGCACAACTCTTCATCCATTGTCTGAGGTGGATAACTGTTTCACATTTGACACCGATTGGACTTCATTAGTCACGACTTCTCACTGGAATTCCAGGAAATCTATCTTGGAACTATTCATTAGTGAGCACATGGTAATTATCAATATAGGGTTGTGGTGGTTGTTAAGTTTTTGATCACCACAACCTCATGCTGTTTATTTTATTTATTGCGATCTTTCTAGTTAGGTTTTCCAGTAAGATCATTTCATCAATTATTGATTTTACTCTTCTATCAAAGCAGATAATGACTGAATTTTAGTTTGTGTTTAGTTCACTTATCTTGATTTTGATAAGTAGTGTCTAAGCTACAAATCATCATTTTAGACTGTTAATCAAGTGACAGGGAAATTCACTACAACTACTACTGAAAACTGTTTGTTAACTAAATGTGCCTGATTAACTCAATATGCGAAAGTTTAACATTAACAATAACTCACTCACTTACGCCTGTTACCCCTCATAGAGGAGCGCAGGCCAATCACTAGCACTCTCCATCCAACTCTGTTTTGGGCAATCCTTTCCAGTTCTTTCCAGTTACTATCATTAAAAAGGTACAAGTATTTATAAACAATTGTCTATGTAAGATAATGAATGTCCGTTGGCCGAATACCATCAGCAAAAGCCTAGTGTGAGAGAGGAGAAACCAGCTTTCAGCTGAGGAGGAAATTTAAAAAAAACGGTAGAAGTGGATAGAACATACTTTGAGGAAATCATCAAACTGCATCACGAGGCAAGCACTGACTTGCAATCCTGAAGAGAAACGGAAAAGCGGTAGGCCAAATAACACATTACGTCGGACGTCGGACATAAATAGGATGAATGACAACTGGAAGGAACTGGAAAGGAAGAGTCAGAACAGAGTCGGGTTGGAGAGTGCTAGTGTGCGGCCTATACTCCTTTACAAAGGGAAAACAGTAAGTAAATAAGTTGAAATAAGTTGAAAATTAATCAAAGGTCTGAATTATGTACAAGTTGGCATTTATCAACTAGTCTCGCCTGAAGTTCTGAAAAGACAAGAGCTTTCTTTATGATTAGAATTTGATCATTACTAAGAACTAAACAGATATGACATTGGTCACCACTCAATGATCAATCAATTGTAGATATCTTAGTCTTACAAGAGGTCGCTGTCAAACTGTAAAACTGAGTGACATGAGATTGAATCTTATAGGAAGGATCATTCGCCCCATGACCACAAGTATCGGATACTAATTAACCCAAAGCCAAGATTCTCTAAAGACTAAACGGAATATCTCATTCACTCATAGTTTTGACAATTCACTACAACCAATGAACTGACGTACTAAATTACTTTCAAACGAATCACACGTCTATCGATCTAGTTCAATTGTAACTATTCATTAACAGAGGGGGGGGGGTGGCAGCAAACAAACCAAATTCTAGAATATTCCAAATTTAGTTAAATGTCAATCAATCCAATATGAATACTTGAAGTTTATTTGAAGTTTTATTCAATGTTTCGTTTCATAACAACCAACCAACCACCACCCCATCCCACCCCATTCACCCCTCATCCACCAACTCCATTTTCATTCAAGTTTATTTATTGAATATACAATGTTACTATGTAATATTATATTGATAAACATAATTGAATTTATGAATTCATGATTAGTTCATTATATCTAATAATGATTCCATACAAATGTAAACATAAATGTAAATACTAAAATACAATTGCCGAAATGGCAGTCAAATTCGATCACTGTCATCACCATCATCACCATCACCACCACCACCAACACCACCACCATCATCATCATACACATTAAGGTACTTGTTCTCATCATCTTAACATTTGAATATTCACTTATTTAATAAATAAACCAATCACATTTACATGGTGCAATATCATTGGATCGAATTTTTTTTTGGTAAACTTTCAGGTCGCTGATATATATATATATAAGTAGATAGATATTGTGGTATACAATCCGATTACAATTTATCATTATTACTATTATTATGAGCTTAATAAACACATACATAATCTACCTTATATGTTTTATTTTATTATTAATTAAAAAGAATAATACATCTGAATATGATTCTAATAAAGAGTATATTGATGAAGAAGCATTGAATCGATTCATAAACGATGCTGATGATGACGATGATCATCATGTTCATCATAATCATCGTCATCATCAACAAGTTCGTCACCATCGACGAGATATTCATAAAGTAAGTGAATGAGTAATGTTTTAAATTAGAGGTTATGATTAAAAATGTTCAACCATTCATATAGTAGGCAACAGTAGTCAATAGCCTAATATTGTAAATGGATTGAAATGAAACACATACACTATTCATTACAGGATCAGTTGTCTAGAATTTGATGGGTTCATAAGTAAGACCAACAATCTTGGATTTGATTCCTTGAGCTGGCAGTCGTGGATACTTAGAATTGTACTAAACAGTAACTGGAGATACAATATGGTGGAAAAATTACGAATAAAACGAATATGTATAAGATAATTGCTACATTGTTCAAGTAAATTTGAACTGAACCAAAGTTAAACTCAATTACAGTGAAATATATCTAGCACTCGGATTCGGGATGTGTGTTTTGTTCTATTTACGCTTTATCAGGTGATTGTACCTAATCCTAGAGTTGATATTTAGTCCGGCTTACAAGTCCTAAATATGACGAAACACTGATACTGGGTTATACCGCTAACCACAACTCATTTATTTTATACTTAATTTGTGTCATAATGGTTTCATCGAGGTAATCTATTCAGGATGCATATATGCCAAACAGGACTGATCAAGTTTCAACAAAAAGATATTTCAAGCCATTACAAATGGAATGAGTCACATAGGTTGTTATTAAAGGTATGATCTGACTGATCATAACAGATCATTTATAAGCAGTTCGTTAACATTATCATTAACAAGAGCATATTAGACGGTATTCTAACATTAGGTTCGCCCACTTAACCTTTCAATATCGTCACCATCCACGAGATATTCATAAAGTGAGTGAGTGAGTGGGTGGTGTTTAAAATCAGAAGTTGTAACTTAAAAAGTTCAACCATGTCAAATGTGAGATAGTTATTCATAATAAACAATAATAGTTAGTTGTTCAATAATATGAATTGGTTAAAACGAAACACATACACTATTTGCTACAATATCAGTAGTTTAGAGTTTAACGGGTTCACAAGTAAAACCGACAGTTTTGGATTTGATTCCTTGAGCTAGCAGTCGTGGATACTTCAATCTTAATTGACTAGAATCAATCGATAGATACGTTTTGTTGATAAACTTCACTGAACTTCCGTGAAGTAAGACTTTCTGAATATTTTTTCTATCGTCAATCTCAAAAAATTATGAAACAATTATTCAAAGTAAAAAAATCAATACTAACTATCTTCAGACTGATATTTTGAATCGGATACAATTTAGAAGAGTTTAATAACTTACCTCTGTTACTCTCAGTGGAGCATAGGCTGTCAACCATTATTCTCTAACCCACCCATTCTTCTCATGTCTGTCTCCATTTCTCGGTGTAATGAGTTCTTTAATCATCATCTTCTCATTTGGCGTTGAGGATTCCAAGTGAGGACTTGCCTTGTGACATAGTTGAGTGATTTCCTCAACATGTGTCCTGTCGACTTCCAGCGCTTCTTCCTGATTTTTTCCTTCGCTGAAATCTGATCTGTTCTCTCCCACAATAAGTTGTTGCTGATAATGTCTAACCAACGGATCCGAAGTATTTTGCGTAGGCAACCGTCAATAAACACGGTAACTAAAAAAAATAAGTCAGACCATTTAAGAGCCTAATTAGCTAGTAGGTTATTAGTTATCGAACTAAGAAATTCATATTATATAGCTTAGGTAAAAGTGTAGTATGGAGACGAGTTTAGAATAATTGTGACCAATGTCCACCTACTTTCTAACCAAACTGAAAAACACTTTCTGGAAAAATGGTCTCCATAAACAAGAGGAAACAATATTTTAAAGTGCAAACAGTTTTTACATAATTGACTCATGATATCAACTATTGAAATTACTACAATCTTCACAAAACCACTTCTGATACTAATCAACATATGCTCACTACTGACTGGCTTCAACAGGTATTTCTTTTAGTCCTAGTGAGAAGCAGTGACCAGTAGAGTTCAACCAGGTCTGTTGTGAGATAGTAACTCACTGATGACAATGGTGGATGTGTCGCTTAATTTCATGGATTAGTTGAAATTAGACATTAACAATGTTGAATGCCGGCTCAGTGGTTTAGTGGTTAAGCGCCCGCGCGCAAAAGCGATAAGTCCTGGGTTCGAGTCTCGCGATGTGACATCGTCAATGTACACTGCCGAGGAGGAGTCTCATAATAGAACAAAACGGCTTACCAGCGCTCCCAGGTTTTCCATGATGGTCTTGCTTCAAATGACTCATGATCTCAACTACTGGAATTGCTACAATCTCTTCAAAACCCCATCTGATTCATAATTAATAGTCCGATTAATGTTTTCCACATGTTAGTAAACCTGTGAACTAAAACAAAACAACGACATAAACTCTTCCTAATGAATGCATAGGTTGTACACATTCTCAAACGCTTAAAAAGATATAGACAGGTTTTTAAAAGTTTCTACTTTGGTTATACTTAAAATTAGATAAATAAGATTAAAGTTAGAATTTTAGGGTTAAGATTTTAATTACAAATTAAATGAATTTAACATCATACTTACTTACTTACTTACTTACTTACTTACTTACTTACTTACTTACTTACTTACTTACTTACTTACTTACTTACTTACCTACTTACTTACTTACTTACTTACTTACTTACCTACTTACTTACTTACTTACTTACTTACTTACTTACTTACTTACTTACTTACTTACTTACTTACTTACTTACTTACTTACTTACTTACTTACTTACTTACTTACTTACCTACCTACTTACTTACTTACTTACTTACTTACTTACTTACTTACTTACTTACTTACTTACTTACTTACTTACTTACTTACTTACTTACTTACTTACTTACTTACTTACTTACTTACTTACTTACTTACTTACTTACTTACTTACTTACTTACTTACTTACTTACTTACTTACTTACTTACTTACTTACTTACTTACCTACCTACTTACTTACTTACTTACTTACTTACTTACTTACTTACTTACTTACTTACTTACTTACTTACTTACTTACTTACTTACTTACTTACTTACTTACTTACTTACTTACTTACTTACTTACTTACTTACTTACTTACTTACTTACTTACTTACTTACTTACTTACTTACTTACTTACTTACTTACTTACTTACTTACTTACGTACGCCTGTTACTCCCAATGGAGCATAGTCTCCAAGTGGAGTATTCAATAGCTTATTACCAATATAATATTTATTTTATTTTATTTTAATAGAATGTCGGACGAAAAACTCAATTGAAATTGTTTCCATGGCGTATACATTTTAATCGACCAAAAACTCAAGAAATGTATGTATTCAATATAGAACGTTATAGTAATTGGTCAGATTGGAAAGAATGTTTACCAATGGAATGTATTGAAATACGTTATCGTAAATGTTTAGATAATTCATGGAAAACAATATCACCAAATCTTATTCATACAACTAGATGTATATCAAAATATTATACAGAGAAACGTACATGTTTAAATAAGACTCAATGTAATGAACATAGTAAGTAAAAACTATGATTGAATCTTTCTTAAGTCTCTATCTGAGATATATGGGTAATTTTCACAGATTGAAATCATGAGTCAGTTGAAACTAGACCACCATGGAAAACCTGGAGGCACTGGCCAGCCGTTTCATCCTAGTGTGGGACTCATGATTTCAATCTGTGAAAATTTTTAAAATCTCCACAAACCCCATCTGATAATATATGGGTAAGACTATAACATATGAACGAACCAATCAGATTTAAGATAACAGGTCTCGAATTTTGGCGCGAAATTCACTCATCCATTTTGGTTAAATAGAGTTTTGACAATTATAGTTGATGTCAATTCGTAATGAAAACTTTAAATGTAATTCCTAACCCCTAATCATCAACTGTTAATCATAATTCGAATTCCTTACATTGGTTTATAATGTTCATTTAGTCCTATTTATGAAGTGGACACTCTCAAGATCACTTTCGAGTCATTCAAAGGTTGTCCAGAAGTTATAGTGTCACCGATATACAAATTGAATACATTGTTTAGAACAAAGAGATTATAAGTGTCAGTGGAATTCAAGATGTGTGTTACATCCTATTTGAGACTTGTCAACTAGGCTTGTCTACATTCTAGTATTCATATTAACATTAAAGACTTGTGATAAATTACTCTATTGAAGAACTTATCTCAACTAAAGTATGATTGAAATTCAGTTTTGAATATCAGTTTGAGATATAGGTTTTCATCCCACTCTTGATGTTCACAAATTGTATTGAATATAACCGTTGAATAAATAGTCTAGTGAATAACACTAGTGTTCGAAGTTATATGTACTAAGTTTGAGTCTCTGTATGAATACCAACATTAATATGTTGGGTCCTAAAGAGAGCAAAATCGACATCTATGATTCCACTACTATCAATTTTCAAATAAAACAACCAGTTTGTAACTATGGCTAATAATGGGGTCTCCATTCATAAAGTCTGTGTAACCATAGCAACTAATAAAATATAAAACTGAATAATTGATAATACGAAAGGATAAACTGTTACAATAATCATGAACTAATTAATTAAACATAGAAATGAGTAGCAATTCACAATAATAACCAGAATTTATAACTTTAAAATAAATTATATTTTCAATTCACTTTAAGACTAATTAGACGGTTAAAACGAAAGGTACTGAATTCGAGACCTGAAATGAATATCAACTCTGAGATCCATCTATGTTCAAATGACGAATTCCAAACAGAATGAAACTCACATCTTGGATTCCATTGACCTGATTGTCTAATCCTTTAGTGATCAATTTGTAATGTAGCTACCATTCTAAGTTAATTGAAATAATGTATATTATAACTTGTGGTCTTGTAGACCTATCAATATATATAATGTAATGATACCGTCACGTGTCTCAGAAGATAGTCAATATCATACGGAATTCCTATGATAGATTAAACTGAAAAATTGTGCATGGAGGACAGTTGACAAACTCGTTCGAGGTAAAGACCGGTGTCAGGCAAGGTTGCTTACTCTCACCCTTTCTCTTTCTCCTGGTGATCGACTGGATCATGAAGACGTCAACTTCTGAAGGGAAGCACGGGATACAATGGACATCTAGGATGCAGTTGGACGATCTGGACTTCGAAGATGATCTGGCCCTTCTATCCCAAACGCAACAACAGATGCAGGAGAAAACGAACAGTGTGGCAGCAGCCTCAGCAGCAGTAGGTCTCAATATATACAAAGGGAAAAGCAGGATTCGCCGATACAACGCACAATGCACCAATCCAATCACAATTGACGGAGAATATTTGGAAGATGTAAAAACCTTTACGTATTTGGGCAGCATCGTTGATGAACAGGGTGGATCTGATGCAGATGTGAAGGCGCGGATCGGCAAAGCAAGAGCAGCATATTTACAACTGAGGAACATCTGGAACTCAAAGCAACTGTCAACCAACACCAAGGTCAGGATTTTCAATTCAAATGTCAAGACAATTCTACTATATGGGGCAGAAACCTGGAGAACTACGAAAGCCATCATCCAGAAGATACAGGTGTTTATTAACAGTTGTCTACACAAAATACTTCGGATCCGTTGGCCGGACACTATTAGCAACAACGTACTGTGGGAGAGAACAAACCAGATCCCAGCGGAGGAAGAAATCAGGAAGAAGCTCTGGAAGTGGATAGGACACACATTGAGGAAAGCACCCAACTGCGTCACAAGACAAGCCCTCACATGGAATCCTGAAGGCCAAAGGAAAAGAGGAAGACCGAAGAACACATTACGCCGAGAAATGGAAATAGACATGAGAAAAATGAACAAGAATTGGATGGAAGTAGAAAAGAAGGCCCAGGACAGAGTGGGTTGGAGAATGCTGGTCAGCGGCCTATGCTCCATTGGGAGTAAAAGGCGTAAGTAAGTAAGTAAGTAATGATACCGTCAATTAAAATACAGTGATTTATCGACCGGACCAATGATGCGTAAAACCCATGTGAGCAGTCTAAAATCTATACGAGTTCTTCTTCCTTCCTAATCGTCCGTGCCTGTCCACTGAGTCCATAACATCAATATCAGCCTCCGCGATATGAATCGTATATCTCAAATATATTGGGTTTATAAACAACCCAAACTGACAACATCACATTATAAAATAGAGAATAGCATTCGCAGAAGATTTAGCCAAATGCGGCTGTAAATGTGGGAGACTGTAGTTAATAGACTGGGTATAACTCAAGAACGGCAAATCGTATAATAATAATCTATAGGTCAAAATGAAGCTTATAATAAGAGGAATATGAATATACATAATTTAGTTGCTGAACAGTTATAGAACAAGAATATATGTATAGTATTAATCCATAAGTGGATCCCAACAGATACTATTCATTATTTCCGTAGAGATATAACAATGTACATTGTGTTTTGATGTTAAATGATTAAGTTCAATCAACGAGCAATCCTTCTTCACCTAGGTTACGTAAAAATCTACATTCATGAATGAAATAGATTTAATAATACTAAAGAAACTCGTTCATTTCTCACCCCGACCCCTAACTAGATACGAATCTATATCACAATCAAAAATATATCCATTCATACATATTGTCTATCAATAACATCCTATAAAACTAAACTGGATTGGTTGAAGTCAGACATTAACTCCATTAGATGACGGCTCAATGGTCTAATGATTAAGAGCTAGCTCGCGAAACTAATATGACCTGGGTTCGAATCTCTCCGGGGGGTGATGCGGGATCATGGTAGCGCAGTGCTGAGAAGTCCCATACTAGGACAAAACGGCAGTCCAGTACTTTCACGTTTTCAATGATGGTCTAGCTTCAATTAATTCATGATTTCAACTATTAAAACTAAACTTATTTCTGATTATTGATATCAGTTCTCTTCATAAGTTTGAAATGTATCTTGGTGATAATTCTTAATTTTAGGTGAATTTTTTTGGTGTTGTTTTTATATTATGTAGTGTACAAGTTTGTATACATTACAGATATGACAATGTAACGTATGCCATTTAAATAGTAAAGATTATCTTATTGAAGTTGATATGTATATCCATTGATCATTTATTATAGTATAATAACCTTATCATTTGAATCACATGTAAGATGATATATGAATTGAATAGTAAAGAAGGATTAGTTAAACGTATCATATATGTAATTCAATGATACAATAATCTAATGCATACTTTATTTTATTCATATCTGATCTTGAATGATATTACTGATGAATAAGTTAGATCCTGGGTTCGAATCTCGCGGGGGCAGGATTATGGATGCGCATTGCTGAGGAGTCTCGTACTCGGACGAAACGGCAGTCTAGTACTTTCAGATTCTCCATGGTGGTCTAATTTCAATAGATTCATGATTTCAACTATTCAAATTACTAAAATCTTCACAAAACCCCTTCTGATAATATATATCCAATGATTATTTATTATAGAATAATAATCTTATCATTTGAATCACATGTAAGATGATATATGATGATATGAATTGAATAGTAAAGAAGGATTAGTTAAATGTATGATGTATGCGATTGTATGCATAGTTCATTTAATTCATATCTGATCTTAAATGATAATACGGATCATTAATTTAATAGTTGAATTCATGAATTGATTAAAGATAGACTACCATAGAAAACCTGGGAACATTGGGTGACTATTTCGTCTTAGTATAGCAGTCCTCAGCAGTGAGCATTCATGATACTATACGAAAGGAAGTAGAATCTAAGACATTTGAACTCGCGCACGAACTACTAATCTTTAGACTGCTGAGCCGACATTCAATGGTGTTAATGTTTAACTTCAACCAATTCATCAAAATTGAGCCACCGTCTATCATTGTGATCTAGCTTTATTCGACTCATGAATTCAACTATGGAATTACTACAACCTCCACAAAACTCACTTTTCGGTAGTAACAATCATCATGTGCTCACCAGTGAATGAATTCAGGAGGTGGAGTTCAATCGGGTCGGTTGTGAGACAGTGGCGCAATTTTGTGGATTGGTTGAGGTTAGACATTAACAACATTGGATTATGGCTCAATGGTATAGAGGTTAGGATTTCGCGCGCGAGACCAAAGGTCCTAGGTAGAAACCCCGCGAGCTGGATCATGAATGCACACTACTTTATTTACTTATTTGGACACACAAAAATTAGTACAAAGGGGGGCCGAATACATATGCGCCACACAAGTAAGCCACTTGATTTGTGTGTGGGCTATGATACTGTCCGGCCGCCCAAGGCGAGTCAGGTGGTTTTCTAAGAGGGCCACACACGAAGCCTTCAACCTAAAGATCTAGTCCATAAGGCAGTGGAGCAACGTAATAAGATGCAGTCCATGGTAGCCGCTGACCAATAATTGGTTCACACACCATTTGTTCCCCCGTGATCCTAGAACCCATGTGCACCATTAGTTTAGAATAAGGGTTTCGCGACTCCTCTAGATATATCGTCCATATCCACCAACCAGATTAGAGCACCAGACATTCGCTTTTTGTCCTGTTAATTTCGTAAACAACTACTCCTTCTAATAAAATTATTAACGTTTGTCCTTAAAATGGTGAAAATTAAAATCTGAAAAACAGTAACCATAAACTTAAGATTACAAATACTCGTTACTTGTAAACGATTTTGTTCATCGTTGACCTTGTTTACTAACTAAAGGATAGTGTTTTTTTTCTTTTTCATGGCCGGAGTATAAAAGAAGCTCCCTTGAAGCTAGTCATTGTTGTCTAACCTGCATCCAATATGTTTCACCGATTCCAAGCACCTCCAAGTTGTAGCTGTTTATTTCTTCAGCAATTTGGATGATTTTCCCGGTCTCCCACATTGTATGAGCATTTCTTGTACCTACATTAGTGCTTACTCTAGTTGTTAGAATGGGGATCATCCTCATGACTTCCGAAAGAACTCGGCTTACACCCTGAGGCATCATAACTCTTCTAAATGAAGACCTTCTAACTCCCACAGCAGAGTTTAAATAGTTCGAATTATTTTTCTCTGGTTAGCGGGTTTTTTTAGCGAGTTAGTTTTCTACCGGATGGGATTGCTAACCTTATGTCCAACCCTCCATCTTTATCCAGCCTTTAGGCCGGCAGTGGCCCCAGATGGGTTCCAGGCAAAGTTATTGTTTTCTTTCCATATATTTCATATTTATTACCAAAACTGTTTTTTACATTTATTCTATTTATGTTTATGATATATACTTATTCATAGCTGGTGAACAAATTATCAAAAATCTAACTAATACATGTGGAATACGTAAACAAGATAATAAAATAATAGAAAAAATTCTTGGCGGAAAATCAGCTGAACCACATTCATGGCCATGGGCTGTAAGTTATCATATGCATAGATGGATTACAGTTAATTTGGTATTTTCCTATGTTGGTACATTCAATTGAATGTTTAAGTTATAAAGCTTTCGAGTGTTCTTTTTTTTGTGCTTATTTTCCTAGACGATTAGTTCAAATCTTTGAAAATAACTTGATGATAATTAGATTCAATGGCTAAGATCATGAGTCAATTGAAGCTAGACCACCATGGAAAACCTGGAAACACTGGACAACCATTTCATCCTAGTATGGGACTCCTCAGCTGTGGACATCCACGATCTCGCCTCGCGAGTTTTGAACCTATCAGTTTTGCGCGTTGAGGAGTCTCACAATAGGACGAATTGGCCGTCCAGTGCTTCCAGGTTTTCCATGGTGGTCTAGCTTTAATCAGCTCATTAATTCAACTATTGAGCACTACATTTGTTGGAATATTTTCACTTCTAATTTATTGTTTAAACAAACAAAAAACGAATACCTTGCAATTCTTACACCTTATATCCAATGAATGGCAAGAATACTTGTAACAGCAAAACTTATAGAAATCATCTGTGATTTTAAATGAATTGTAAATACCGACCATTAAAGTTATTTATATGTTCTTAAATAAATACAATTTGAATGGCTGCTAAGCAGAAAGTTATTTAAATCTAACACTGTAGTGAACGAGAACACAATTAGGGACAATCAAATATCAATCAATTGTGATTGCATCTCAGTCCTACAGGAGGTAAGTCACGGCCCGGATATCTCAGTGGTAACATCTCTGACTGTGAAGCTGGATGACACGGGATTGAATCCGTCAGGGAGCACCAGTTCCCTCAAAATTATAGGTACACCTTACTGACTAGTGCCAAGTAGCATGAAACCCGGGTCCAGGGTTTCCTGTCGACTACCTCCCACCACCATCTAATTACAATCAAATATACTTGAATACAAAATTATAGAATATCTAATAAAATCTAAGAACCATACAGTAAATACTTCATTTGCAAAATATCAGTCAATCGTCTCAGACTTCATAGTTTCTTTGTTTCCACAGTAATCATTCTCTGTTCTCGTTCTATTTCCTTCGATCTTCTTAACCTTCTGGTATCAGGCATTTCACTTTCTTTTGATCATAAATACTACTTATATCTGTCGAAATCAGTAGCACATACCACAATTGTATACAAACATGTGTACAACCAATCTCGACTCTTCACTGTAGTTTTATATCATGCAAGAAATGCTTAATTTCTCAGGTTAAAATGTCACTCTCTCTAATGGCTACTAGCTATAATGTAGTGGACGAGAACAAAATTGGGAACAATCGAATGTATTCGAACATAAAATTACAGTACATCTTAGTAAAATCTAAGAACCATACAGTAAATACTTCATTCGCAAAATATCAGTCGATCCTTTCAGACTTCATTGTTCCTGCAATTCCATACTAATCATTGTTTGTTCTCGTTCTCTTTTCTTCGATCTTCTTCATCTTCTGTTGCTAGGCATTTCAATTTTGATTGATCACATATACTACTTATATCTGTCGACATCAGTAGCACGTGACAAATGGTGCTTAGTATTAGATGGTGGTTGGAGGTAGTTGACAGGAAACCCTGGATCCGGGTTTCGTGCTATTTGGCACTCATCAGCAAGGTGCACCTATAATCTTGAAGGAAATGGTGCTCGATCCCGTGTCATCCAGCTTCACAGTCAGAGACGTTAACACTGAGCTATCCGGGCCGCGACCAACCTCCTGTAGGACTGAAATGTAATCACAATTGATTGATCATTGGGTGGTGACTAATGTCATTCGTGTCAAATCCTTATTAGTGCGGATCGAATGTTATCGACCATGATGCAATGTGGCCACCAGTCTAGGTGACTCGAATTATTTACTGTAATCGAACAAAGGATTATAAGCGTTTATTCCAAATAGAGACCTACACTATTAGATGTTCTATGTCTTTTTTAATACTTAGTTGGGAAAAGTCTGATGACATTGTTCAAAATGGTGATAAGAAATCAGTGATTAACTCATCTAGTTCAAAGAATACAACACTAACAAAATCAGTTCTTTTAGCAGTACGAGTAACCTTTATTTAAGCTAGGTTGCCATGACAATAAAGTACATATTGTCGAAGTATATTCAATCTTAAATTAAACAACTATTAACAAATTGAATTCATATTTATTCTTATATTAAAGGTTCGTTTATCTGTGAAGTTACCACATCGAAGACCAGTTACATTCTGTGGTGGGACATTGATTGCACCACAATGGATATTAACTGCAGCTCATTGTGTTTTAGTGGAAAATAAACATATTCCAGTTGGAAAACCGGTTATGTTAGCTGATCATATGAAAAGTACAATCTATGCACATTTAGGTGATCATGATCGATATAAACAAGAAGCTGGACAAGTTGATCATCGTGTTACTGTTGCTATACTTCATCCAAATTATCATAGAAAATTACAAACTGATGGATACGATATTGCATTGTTACGTCTCTCAGAACCAGTTAAAACAAGTATGTCTATTCCTGTCGTTATCTACTATATATACCTTATAGTTTACACCATTAATTAATCTTAGTTAGATGACTTTTAGAAACTTGGAAGTCATGAACAGTTGTTTAGTCCCAGCAAGGAAATCCTCAGGAGTACACATCCACAAATTCATCACTGGGAACCGAACTCATGGCTTTCACTCTCGCACTTGAAGGTCTAACCTCTAGACCATTAGACTCGAATCAAATAGTGCATATGTTTAACTTCAATCAACTCACGATATTTGATGACTGAGTGCTAACCGTCTCAAGGTCGAGATGGTTGAACTCCATTGGTCACGACTTCTAACTAAGACTCCAAGAATTCCATCTTGAAACTAATCACCATTGGGTACATGGTTACTGTTAGTGGTAGGAACGTTTGTGGAGATTATTAAATTTCCTCTTTCTATGTTACAAACTACTCCTAGAAAACCATTAAAAGTCAAGAATATGTTTTACTTGTTAAAGTGTTAGATAAAATTGGTACACAATTTTGAAACCTTTCATATAAGAGGCTTTCGAAGCATCTAGTCTATCCAATAAGTATTCGAAAGGAGATTCCAGGTCACATTAGTATTACTTACTTACTTACTTAAATGGTTTGAATTATTTTTGCTGGTTAGCGTTTTTTTAGCGAGTTAGTTTTCTACGGGATGGGGTCGCTAACCCCATACTCAACCCTCCTCCTTTACCCGGGTTTGGGACCGGCAGTAAGTTCGGAAAAGCTACAGGTGGAGTTTCACAATAGTATTACTGACACCAAAATACTTAGTCCTTATGATGATGCATTTTTCAAATCTCTGTTTCCGTCATTCAACTGCATCTGTAGAAGTTCCAGAAAATCAGAATTTTCAACTCCCTTCTCGTCTGATATTATATAGTTTACGCATTGTCCCAAGATTATCAAGTGCCCTTAGGGTTTTGTCTAGTTCTACAATATATAATAATGACAACTGGTACAAGAACAGAAAATCAATAATAATCAACTACAAAAAAAGGAAGAATCTACACATTGAACAGGTAAAACGAGTGATTTACAGTTATACTAACATAGAAATCACATCATTTATTCATCGGTAGTTAGACAAATATAGACCATTAAGATCAAACTGATCGAGAGTACTAGAGGTTGGAGAACACTGATATTGTCAGTCGGTTAGTCAGCTACAACGTAGGACAAAGCACATATATACATCGGTCTAAGTTGCCATACATCATTAGCACAATAAGATGAACACTGAATTCATAGAAGTAGTCATTTCAATGGTAGTAATATAAAAAAAAGATTGCATATAAGGATCTAGTACAGGAAGAGAGAATTAGTTGGTAGAGAGGTAGAAAGTAATTCTAATCGCATAGTTTAAGGGAAGATAGAGAGTGTACATAACTACGCCATTGTGATCGATTCTGACCAGTGTCACAGACAGTCTCCAAACATTGATATTGACAATTCTTTTGTTAAATAATCATAATTGAGAGTATTAGAGGCTCATTTTGGGTTTTTACTAGATATATTATCTAAATTCTTGACTTTTTTTATTGAGATCATGAATCGATTGATGATAGATCATCATTGAAAATCTGGAAGCATTGAACGGCCGTTCCGTCCTAGTATGGGACTCCTCAGTAGTGCGCATCCATGATGCAGCTCGCGGATTCAAACCCAGGGTCTTCAGTCTCGCAATCGAACGCTTAACTTCTAGACCACTGAGCCGCCTGGCATTCAGTGATGTTAATGTATAACTTCAGCCAACCCACAAAATTGCGTGACCATCTTCCATTGTACTGAGGTAAATACCTGTATTATCCAACACGGATTAACTCCACTGGTCACTGCTTCTCATTAGAACTCTGAGAATTCCCTCACGTATCTAGTCACTAGTAAGCACATGGTAATTTTCAGTATGCGGTTGTGAAGATTATTAAGTATTTGATTGAGATCATGAATCGATTAATGTTAGACCACCATTGAAAGTCTGAAAGCACCGGACCTCCGTTTTCCATTCTATTATATGACTCCTCAATAATGCACATCTTCGATCCACGCTCGCTGGGTTCGAACTCATGACCTTCAGTTTCAAATTATTCATTTTAATTTCTTTTTTTTCTTTTTTTTTTTAGCACCAGAAATTGATTTTGCATGTTTACCAACAAAAGATTTAAAATTAACACCAAATTCCAAATGTTATGCTGTTGGTTGGGGTAGTAATAAAGGTGCAAAAATACCAACATTTGATAATATACATAGTATATTAGAATCATTATTTTTACCATTTCCATCATTATTTACAACACCATTTACATTCGATAGAAGAGAATCAACAATATGGAATATTAAAAAATTAGAAGAAGAAGAATCATCAAGAGAATTACATGAAGTTGAATTACCAATTGTTTCTATAGAAGATTGTCGTAAACATTATGCTGATATTAGTTCTAAAGTTCATGTATGTGCTGGTGCTAGAAATAAAGTAAGTAATGATTTTGTTTATTCTTTTGTATATACATTAAAAATGAAAAAAATTTATGAAGATCTCAATCGAAAGCTTTCATAAGGGAATTCTCAGAGTTCTAGTAAGAAGCAATGACCAGTGGAGTTAATCCATGTTGGATAATACAGGTATTTACCTCAGTACAATGGAAGATGGTCACGCAATTTTGTGGATTGGTTGAGATAAGACATTTACATCATTGGATGCTAGCCAGCTTAGTGGTCTAGAAGTTAAGCGATCGAGTGCAAGACTGAAGTCTTTGGGTTTGAATCTTGTTCGCGGGGATTGTAGATGTGCAGTACTGAGAAGTCATATAATAGGACGAAACGGAGGTCCAGTACTTCAAGGTTTTCAATGGTGATCTAATATTAATCGGTTCATGATCTCAATCAAAAACTTAATAATCTCCACAATCCCATACTGATAATCACTAATAGTAGAATCCATCTACTGATTCATTCTGTTTGAAACTCATCAATTAGATGTACTTGCAGTTCAATGTTCATGTACATATTGAGATTTGATCATTAAAGTGTTAATCTCTAGTATTAGAAAAGAACTTATGAGTAAAATATACTTTCGTTGATATAAATAAATGAATAACTGAGAGTACTTACATACTTACTTACTTATGCTTGTTACCTCTCACAGCGGAGCATAGACCGATCACCAGGCATCCTCCATCCAACTCTGTCTTGGGCAATCCATTCCATTTCTTTTCAGTTGCTATTCATGTTTATTAATTCTTCTTTCTCAGTAGTGAAAGGATATATATTCAAAGTATAAATACATGAACTGAGTATTTATCCTAATATACCTTATAATTAAGAAATTATCTGATTAATTGCATATACAATTACAACATATAACAATAATCTGATGAACTATGATGATTGATGCTTTGAATAAAGTGAATCTGTCAGTAGAAGAACTGAAATTGATCGTTTAAGGATAGTTTAAGAAAAAAGCTACAAGATCACATATGGTTCTAGATTATACTTAACTAACAAGATATTTCATTTTTTTTTTTTTGAAGAAGAAGAAGAAGAAGTTGATATTTTAAGTGAAATACTAACCCACTTCATTTAAGATCAACATTAGAAGTGGTATCACTAAGCTATTTGAGCTGCAACTGAATTAATGTAGAGGTTAGATATTTCAAATAATCATTTATTGTGTAGTAGTTGACATGTAGTTTCTTCTTGTTTTTAATACTGATGTAACATCCAAACGTAGTACGCTCATTAGTAACACTGTTTATCGTTTGATAGAAGTTGATTAACTCTAAAGAATAGTTAATTATTCAATTAGTTAACATACTTTGATTAATCAGTCTTCAGATGACAATTTTTCTAATGTTTAATACGATGAGATTGTAATTTATGGATGAATCAATCACGTATAAGATTGCAGTTGTCGGATTTTGGCGCGAAAATCACTCATCCATTTGGTTAAATAAAGTTTTGGTATTTTAGGTGATATCAATTCATGATGAAAACTCGAAATCTAATTCCTAACCTTAATCATCAACTGTAAATCATAGTTGTAATGCCTCATACTGGTTTATAATCCTCATTTGGTCTTGGTTATTAAGTGAACACTCTCAAGGTCAGTCTAGCGTCACTCAAAGGTCATTCATAAATTATAGTCTCACTGTTTGTATTCAATAGTAAGAATGATTGTATGGATTCGCTCATCATTTATATTTAATCATTAATCCATCATCAACTGTTCATAAGACCGATGACATCGTGGATTAAAGAAAACATCAAAAGTTTGCAATTTATTATGGTTTCTCATTCTTCGTAGGGTAAATCGATGATGAGGTAAATTTATGAAAATCATTAATGAATATAGTTCCAGTAAAAAAAAAGAGGAAAAATGACAAGTTAGTTAATGAGCATGATTACTGTTGACTTGCAAAGGAATTTTCAACGATGGAAACGGATATCGGTCAGTCATTCAACAACAACGTAGAACTTCGTACGTACGTACATCAGTTCACGTTGCCATACCACATTAACACACAGATACAATTGTCGATTCAAATCCAAAAGTGGTAGAGGTAGTAAAAGTATAGGCAGTAATCGGAAAGACTGCGGTTTGAAGATGTTACTCAAGAAGTACAATCCAGTGAAATAAACTTGGAAAGAAAAATTCAGAAACTTAGAATTTGGGAGAACACAAAGAGTGTATGCACCTGCACCATTGCAAACAATTTTGAGTCACGTCACTCAAGCTCTCTTACCATCGGTTGCTATCACCTCGCGGATTCCAAACAGATAATCTACACCTAACAACATGGCTCAGTCCATTTATCAGTGACTTCATGGATTTGTGTCATGTTTTGGTCTGACCGCCTCTTTCTTTCTTCCAACCTACTCCTACACCATAAAACATCGCACGTCGGGGCAGTCGGTTGTTGGACATACGTAACACGTGTAGCAACCATCTCAACTGATGAATTTCCACTACTTCATCATTTGAATTACCATCCTTATGTGGTACCCTTTTTCTAACAACTGCATTACTTACTCGGTGGTCGCAGGATATCCGAATAATGTTTCGAAGACATCTATGATTGAACACTAGTAACCTACGAATATCAACTACTCTTACCGACCATGTTCACTGCCATAAAGTAAGATGGAACGAACTGCTGCGCAGTAAACCTGTCCTTTGGTTGATAGACGGATATCTCGCCGACGTCATAAATAACGCAAGTTGGCAAAAAGTAGTCGAGCCTTCTGTATCCGTGCTGAAATTGGGATAAACATATTTGTGTTACTTATTGAACTATGAGTAGTATATTTGAATAGGTTCAATGTTTTAACTATTTATTTTATTTTATTTGAACACGTAAATATTGTTACAAAGGGTTATCGAATACATAGGCGCCACACAAATAAGCCTCTTGATTTGTATGTATGTTGTGATACTGCCCGCGTGCTTGGACCGAACTCTTTAGCAGTATGCATCCATGATTCCACACACAAGACTCGAACCCATGACCTTCGGTCTTATATGCAAACGATCAATCTCTAAATCCCTGAACATGATGATTAACTTGTTGACATTTCTTCATACTCTTCGTCATATACTTATTCCTTCTTGAACATCTACTGATTTTCTATTCAATTGAGCAACTATTTTTCTTTTCGTTTTTTTTTATAATTCGAATCCTTAGGATACATGTGCAGGTGATAGTGGCGGGGGTCTTTATTGTTATTTAGAAGAGACTAATCGTTGGCATGTTGTTGGTGTGACAAGTTTTGGTTTAGCACGTGGTTGTGGTTTAAATCCTGGTGTTTATACATCAACAAAATCACATATGGATTGGTTATCAAAACAATTAGCAACAAAGATATTTTAAATAAAATCAGAAAAAAGAAAGAAAAAAAAAGGAGAAAAAAGAAAAAAATCAATAAGAAAAAAACATACTATTGATGATAATAATAATAATCTCTATCAGTTACTTTATTAAGATTTCTTCTAACGAAAAATCGATATGAATATGATCAATTGAATATTGAATATATTTTTTATTGATTTTATTATTTATGTAAATTTATTAGATAAATTAGTAATTAAAATATACCCCCCATTTTGTTTTGTTTATTTAAACATATAAACATTGGTATAAAGAGTCATGAAATAGATTATGTGAGGGGTAGGATACTACCCGGGTGCCCACCAAACCGAAGCAAGTGACCTTCTTAGGGAGCCACAACCCGAGACATTGACTTAAAGGTCTAGTCCACAAGGCAATGGAGTAACGTCAGGAGATGCAGTACCATGGTAGCCGGTGACCAACGATTGGTTTATACACTATTTGTTCCCTCAGAATACTGGAGACCATGTGCACCATTGGTTTGAAATCAGTTTTAAAACTTTTCTAGGTGGACTCTCTGTGTCCTCCAACCCAGTTAAAGCGCCGGATATTCGCTTTTCGTCTTCTCAATTTCGTAAACGACACCCGTGGTGCGAGAAATCAGTGAGTAGGACTTACCTGGCAGTGGCTGTATACCTGGAGCGCCCGTGTGGTAGGTGGGGATTCTACCATTGAATCACCGATGCGATGTTCTAGGTTCCACAGCACATATGACTAATACATCTGTATGACGTAATGTTCTCACCATGAGACACGAATATTGTAGGTTTGTTCGTTTTGGGAATCTTTGGTGACCACCACTAAGGATGAAACAGCTAAGGTATACCATATGGATTTATGATGCTGAGATTAAGACAATCAACCGAAAACCTGAGTGCAATAGACACCTGCTTCTTCTTAGTACGGGACTGACTCTTTGATCTCACCAGGGGTCGGACCTAGGATCTTCAAGACTAGTGGAGTGGCTTAACCTCCAGATCACTTAGTCGTCATTTATTGGTTTACATTTTTAACTTAAGTATATTCATGATATTACGTGACTATCATTTGAATCCTTGTGAGATCGTGGATACACATTACTGATTAGTCCCATACTAGCATGTACCAGGTATCTAATACTTCTTGCTTTTTATTTAAGGTCTAATGAAGGCTGGTTCGTGATATGAAACTTCAAATACTATCCGGGTGCCCAAACCATAGCAGTTGGTTTTCTTAGGGAGCGACACTCGGAGCCTTCGACCCGAAAGTCTCATCCACAAGGCAGTGGAGCATCGTAAGGAGATGAAGTCACATGGTAGCCGGTGACCAACGATTGACTCCCACCACGAAAAGGTAGTGGGTAGTGTTGAGTCGGCTTTTGGAGAACTTCAACGGAGCCTCCAGAGGCCCAAAAGGAGCCGAAAAGTCCTAGCCAATCACAGCACGATGGAGCATTCTAGAATTCCAACGTGGAGTGCTACTATTGGTCAGTAGCATAATATGTCGTTAACGGATTGGCTGAAATATGATGTTGATTTAACAAACGTTTACACCTATAAATACCCATGCTTTCTGTACAACAATGAACCTTGGGATAAAGTATTTTCTCTCATACTTGCGTCTTCTCTCTGGTGTTCAAGTCGCTGTGTAGTTGTAGTCTGTGGGTTACCAGAATAGGTTAGGAAAACGAATATAGCGTTCGATCGACAAGACTTATCAGGTAGGACTTCCCTGATAGTGGTTGTATACACGTGGCCATGTGAGAGCATTTGGAGAGGAAGAGTTGACTCTTCACAATCTCGGCCGTACCAGGGCATTTGGGGGCGATCCCATTTTGTAGTTATCAGACTTTTCTTTCTTTTTCTTTCTAAAGATTTTAAACAGTTTTTATTGAAGATTGATATATATAAATGTTTTTGTGGTAACTTTAAACTTGACTAGTTACCACTTGATTTATTTGTCAATTGAAATATGACTTTTACAAATATTGACACTGTACCAAATCGATGATATTCGACCAAAATGAGCAACCTAGCATCTTCATTGGTTCCTTTGTTCGCATAGCCCGTCCAGTTGAGTCTAGAACACCGATGACAGCTTCGACTATGCAAATCGTTTATTTCAAACATACTTGATTGTTTATATACCAACCAAACAGACCACATTACACCATAAAACAGGAAATAACGTTTGTACAAGATATACATAATCTAATTACTGAATAGTTATACAATAGAAATATATATATATGTAATATTAGTCCATTAATCGTCCTCAGAAGGTATCCGTAATTTAATCTCCATTAGGATATAACGCCTTCCTTTTTTTTGCAGATTCGAAGTTTAGATCCTGAATTTTTTTTAAAAATTATGTATAACTTTAGATTCTCCAGCATTTCCTTCCCCCGCGAAATAATTTTGGATCCTCATATATCCAAGTTACAATTAATGCGACTTTATTTAAAACATATTTCTCGCATTGAATAGAGATTTCACTGGAAGTGACTAAATGTTGAGGATGAATAACATTTGATCTGAGGTCATCAAGGTTTGATTCTTCTGAAACACATTCCTTAAATTCATTAAGAATCTCATTTTATATATATAACGTGGATTGGTTGAAGTTAGACATTAACACCGTTGGATGTCGACTCAGTAGTCTAAAGGTTAAGCATTCGCATGATAGACTGATACGTCATAGATTCTGTTATGGATGCAGAATAATGTGCCAATCATTATCATGTTAAGTCTAATGACGTTAAATGGACATTCCCTATTGGTCATTATTTATTTCATTCGTTAAATATTGTACAGATGTTGTTTTCTATTTTTATGGTACGATGTGGTCTGTTTGGTTAGTATATAAATAGAGCATGTCTGAAATACAATGATTCATATCTCAGAGGTTGTGACTTGTGTTCTAGACTCAACTGGCTGGGTTAGACAGGGAAGCGGGACCAATCAGGACACTAGGTATTCTGTACGTGTTTTACGTGTCACCGAGTCGATCTATAATACGCTGCTCACTAATCTTTCAGTCAAAGACGCAACAATTAGCACAGGGTAAAAATCGACCCAACTTAAAGTCACAACAGATTCACTTGATGTTGTTTTACTTGTATCTTTCCATTGTTATTTACGAGTGCAATTGATGAGTCTTATGTTGACATATGTGCGAATTGCTTTGATATAGCCTTAAGTCACAAGCTTATTAAGCAAAGATGGATCGTGGTTAGCAGTGGAATCAATTGAAGTCCTAAATAACAATAGGAAGATACAAGTAAAGCGACAGCAAGTAAATGTCTACTTCTAGAAATGTTTTGTATAAAATAATAGATGTAATAAATATATTATTGATTAGTTTGAATTGGATATGATGAATACATCTAGGAGTTTGTCAACTAACATTTTTATTCCCTCAATTTACTTTGAAGTTGAATAAACTACGTATAGAATCTATGAAATACCAAAAGGTTAAAATTCAGCTATGAATAATAATAATAATAATGTTGTGAATCAACATGTAAAATCCAAGTTTTTTTCTGTAGAAGATACTGGAAACCCTTTCTATAATTGTATTTCGTACAATGTGAATGAGTTCTATCGTGTTTACTTCATACTTAGGTCATGAATTCACTGAATGTGATTATCTCATCAAAACTTTAAATGACTTAATATATTAACCACATGGATGAGTAGAGTACAGCAGATACTCCTTTAAAGGTATCTATGATTCTGTTGTAATGAGTCGGATCGCAGGTTAGATGCGCAGCGTATTTATCGATCGATTCACTGATACATAAAACACGTAGTGAACGACCTAGAGTTCTGGTACAAACACACTCTGTTTATATACTAATCAAGCAGACCAAATCGTACCATAAAACAGAAAACAACATTTTGTACAATATTTAACAAGTGAAACAAATATCGACCAATAGGGAGTGTACATTTAAAGTCCAAGGTCACTGTTAGACTTAACATGATAATTATTGGTATATTCCTTTGCATCCTTAACAGATTCTGAGGTCATAGCTTAAAGTGAATGGTAGATCCTTATGATTGGTTAATTATGGTGAGCAGTGATTTGTCTAACGTAAACTTTATACGAGTTCACTAAACATAAATCTCAGATGAGAAACATCATTATACCATTAGTCTGTATCGGGTTAATCAATGATAAATGAAGCAGTCGAATGCATTGACCAACTCAATTACTGACATCATGCTATCAATGCTGATAAGCTGATAGCCAACAATTTAGTATCAGTACAGAGAGCATCTATCAATTTAAATCCTAAATTATCATATATATGTGCCTTAGGTATATGTCACGTATTGAACTACCTTCTACCATGAATTGAATTACTAACTAATATACGAAAAAAATATTTCACTTGATGAGATCCAGAAATTATACCGATTTATTAAGTTACCAACTGTTGGTCCCAGTTATCTAAACTATCTGCCTAGTGTTCTTAACGCTAAGCATCGTTAGCTGGAGATCCTTAGTAACATCCAGATTTTAGTTACAATAGAATCGCTTTTTTATTATTAGTTCTATCGAGTTGAATGATACGGCAAATTAAAACCACACAATTCTAGCACCTATATTTATAATTAGACTATTTAATTATTTTCACAACTACGGCAGATAATGAACAGTCCTATGAATCGATTTGGTGTTTAGGACTGCAATTGATCAGTCTCTTATTGGCATATGTGAATATTATCACGATATTACCTTAATTCACAAGTATTCTAAGCAAGGATAAATAATGGCTAACAGTGCAATCCAGGATGCGCGTATCGTCTTGTTTATATAAGCAGGTGGATATAAGGACTCAAAAGCTAAGTCGATAACGCGATGGCACTTGAGGCGAACAGTACTGAGTTGGAGTCCTGCAGTGAACATCAACTCTGAGATGCAGCTACATCCAGCTGATGAGTCCCAAATAGGACGAAACGCGCATCCTGGATTCCACTGACAGCCATTATCCATCTTTGCTTAGAATACTTGTGAATTAAGGCAATATCGAGGCATACGCACAGTATGCAGATATGCCAATAAGAGACTGATCAATTGCAGTCCTAAACGTCAATGGGAAGATTCAAGTAAACAATACCAGATGAATTTAAAATTCACCCCATTACAGAAGCAAGTGGCTCAGTAGCTAAGTGGATAACGCAATGGCACCGATACACAGAAGTACTATCTAACTCCAATCGGAAGTGGATAACCTGGCAAGAGAATGCGAAGGTCGACTTGAAGAAAATGGAATTAGAAATTGTGAATCAGAAGAATTATACAGAACATTAGAGGCAAATGATGGAAACGTGGAAATGAAGTATTTCATGTATGATTCTTATATATTACCGAGACGCTCTGTAATTTTATGTTGGATTTTCGGTTGTCTTCATTTGTGCTCTCTTTCATTAGTAATAGTATTAGATTTATTATTTATTTTAACACATAAACATTGGTACAAGGAGGCACCAAATACATATGCGCCACACAAACCTCATTTGATATGTGTGAGGGCTGTGACACTGTCTGGGTGCCCAAACCGAAGCAGGTGGTTTTCTTAGGGAGCCACACCCGGAAGTCCCATCCACAAGGCAGTGGAGCATCGTAAGGAGATGCATTCCCATGGTAGCCGGTGACCAACGACTAGTTCATACGCCATTTGTTCCTTCAGGATACTGGAGCCGATGTGCACCATTGGTTTGGAATGAGGGTTTTCCAGTTCCCCTAGGTGGACTCACCATATTGACCAACCTAGTTAAATCCCCGGATATTCACTTTTCGTCCTCTCAATTTCGTAAACAACACCCCCGCCACTAGAAGACAGTGAGTAGGAATTCCCTGGCAGAAGCTATATACGCGTGGCCATGTGAGAGCATTTCGAGAGGGAGAGCGAACTCTCCCCACTCTCGGCCGTACCAGGGCATTTGGGGGCAATAATAGTAGAAGTAGTAGTATGAAGAATACATGTATTCAGTTTATCATAAACTTTGTCAAAAATAACAATCTTGACTTCCTAAACAAAGAATAAAAAGATATTTTGAGGTGGTTCTAGTAAATCTGAAAGTTCAGAGTTCAATTTAGTATGGAAAACAGTTTTTAAATGATTCCTAATTGGTAACCATTCTTTCTAACTGACATCAATTAGGTAGTGAGAATTACTTTTAAAGCAAAGAACATGGTAAAAGAAAAAAATATTTATTATGAAATTGTTTCATTTTGAAACGATAGAACAAATGAGATCAATCGAATAAATATTTTTATGTACACCATACACAACAAAGAATTTTTGTTTGTTTCTCCATAAACAACAGTTTCAATCAACAAGTTGTCCTTTAATTTTAAGTTTCTTTAAAACACGTCCTTGTTCTAAAGCTGCTGCTCTTCTACGACGTTGTGAACTACCGATACCATCTCCGGCTGATGATGAATTATCCGAGTCTAGATTTCCAGTGCCTCCACCACCTCCTGACAATGCTGGAGATGATCGAGTAGTTGTTAATCCACTAGAATTATACTGTCCATTATCTGAAGAATTCACGATAGACGATGAGTTCAATCGACATTGTTTTGTATCTGATTTTTCCATTGTTGTATTCATAGGTGGAATACCACTACTTCCGCTAGTCATATTATGCATACCTAAACTTCCAGCAGCCGCAGCCAATGTACCAGCAACTCCAAGTGAATGACGCGGTAGAATTGGACGTTTTGAATCGGCTACACGAAGTGCTGACAAAATTAATGGATCAATTAAATTATAATAAGAATCTTCAGGTGATTCTGATATACTAGGATTTGGAAGACTGGCAAGTCCACAAGGTAATGGCTAAAAGAGGAAATTAGACATTAAAAAAAGAAGTGTTTCGTTCAACTATACACAAAAAATCTAGAAGAACTTAAAATACACAATTATCAACCACGAGATTAAAGATTAACGACTGCATGTAACTGAAAACTTGATCACATTCTACAGAGACAGTTTTCAGGAAGTATGTCTACAAGGATAAAAGTTATTACTCTATGCTAGTACGTTAAGGAATACAATGAGTTAGTAAGAGTTACTCTCCACTATTTTTTGTGAAATCGATCCGCACCAACCTGACTAACTATCCTGAAACATCAACGTGGGTGAACTGCACGTGCTTTACATATATCGTTTCAGTACCTTTCACATAAAACGTTATATGTCAATACCGAAACTGGATAGAGAAAATGGACATTATTAGTTTATGATATGGAGTCGTAGTATGAAAGATAGTTCTGTATACGACTGACATTCATCAGTCCATCCCAACTTACTAGTTGAAGTTCTAGAGGTTACAGAACTCAGTGATTGTCTTTGTTAATCAAACCCTAATCTTTCCGATTACTGCTCATACTCTTACCGCCTCTAACACTACGGGATTTGTATCGACAACTGCATCTCTGTGCTAATGTGGTGTGGCAACTCGAACTCATGTACGTACGTACGAAGTTCTACGTTGTTACTGACTAACTGGTCAAACAATTATTGTTTTCCATCTATTTATTGATAATATAACCATCTATCTTCGATTACTTCACAATATTTTGTGCAATACCTTTTTATGTAAGGAATAAGTGAACCGTGTTACCAAAGCACACCTTGAAACATTTCAAGTTATCTGATGTATGAAGTGGGAAAAATCGGAATATTGAACATTTCCTCAGTTCAGTAAGTTCCCCAACATCTAACGATTCGTAAATTTTAGTATTTTTCCATAATGAAATAGTTGATAATTCATTAAAAGTACAAACAATATAATAATTGAAATATTCTTATACTATTTTATTTACAGTAATCAAGTTCAATGAAGTTAATTGATTGTGTGAAAGTATTTAGTCCGTGATATGTTGAAACAATCTAATCTAAGCACATGTTTTTGATACAAAAGACTGTAAGTGATGAATTCCTGTCAGCGTATATGCAACGTGAGCAAATTACCTCGATATGGTCTGTTTAATTGAAAGTCATACTTCAAAATGTTGCATGGATAAATGTCTCCTGTGGTTAGACCTTGAAAATGCAAACATCCAGATTATGACTAGATCAATACTAATGCAGTAACCTTTTCGAGTTCTTCAATCATAAGTAACCATCACAATATGATCAACTGAAAAGTGACAACTGTCCATCAACCTCTAACAACATTTTTCATTATATTTTCATTATATGGTATGTGCTTTGCACCTTCGAAGTGCAAAGTACTTCTACAAGACTGGCAGGATCCTAATTTTGTACTCACCCTGGATAGTGAGCAGATAGAAGTAGTCAAGAAGTTCGTGTATCTAAGTAGCTGCATAAGTGCTGGTAGGGGTGTGAGTGATGAGATCAATGCACGGATAGTGAAAGCCAGAGCGGCATATGCCAATCTGGGCCACCTTTGGCGCCTTCGTGATGTCAGTCTGGTTGTAAAAGGTCGGATCTACAACGCGTCGATGAGAGCAGTTTTACTCTATGCTTGCGAAACCCGACCTCTCCGAGCTGAGGATGTTAGACGACTCTTTGTGTTTGATCATCGTTGTCCCCAAAGGATTGCTGACATCCAGTGGCAACACCATGTCAGTAATGCAGAGGTTCGGCATCGTGTGTTCGGGCACAGAGATGATAATCCAATTGGTGTCACCATCTTGAAACGCCGACTTCGGTGGCTTAAACATGTTCCACGAATGTCGTCCCAGAGAATTCCACGTCGTGCATTATTCGACGACTCTGGGACTGGTTGGGAAAAGCGGAGAGGTGGTCAGTGTGTGACATGTTGTCGTCGTATGAAAGAAAACTGCAAAGGGCTGGCCTGTGTTGGTCCTTCACAACTCCCTGGCTGGGGTCCGAGAGATAGCGCAACACAGCGGCTAGAGACGTTATCAGATATGGCTCAGAATAGAAGCCAGTGGAGATCCTGCTGTAACCTTCTTTTACTTTCTTCATACTGAAAGATTTCTCCTGAGTATACCTTTCCGTTTCCCCCATTATTACTATTATTATTATTACACGACTTTACACTAATCTGGTCGTTATTGTTCCTTTTTTTTCTCTTCGAATTCTCATTGCTTTGTGTGGCGCATATATATTTGGTGCCCTCTTGTATCAATATTTATGTATCCAAATAAAATAAAATAAAACCTCTAACAACACTTGGAATCACTCTCGTTATGACTAACAGAAAAAAAGGTGGCAAAAATTACTTTATTAGGAGCAAATGTCTCTAGTCGTAGCCGAGCTGAGTGTAGTTCCAAGTCACAATTTAATAGAGCTAGGCGTAAATCGAATAAAAGTAGAATTTTTGAACGTAAACCATTATATGCTTCAACAATTTCTGCCGTTGCCGGTGGATTAGGATCTGGAAAATTTGTAAAAATAAAAATATTTCACCGATATCTAATCAACCAAAAAAGAGAAGAATAACTATATTTGATTAAAAAAAGAACCAAGTACATCCCAGTCAGTTAAATGCAATGTAGACCACCACAACTAGATGGTCGTCACCTAAGTACACGGCTCAGTTTAACAGTTAGTGTCTTTCATGAACTGATATCATGTATTGGTCTGGCCACTTCAAGCTATCTTCCAACGTACTACTGCACGCGTTATCATCTCGCGTCAATGTAGTCGGTGGATAGGCATATGTAATACATGAGCTAACCATTGCAGCTGATAAAGATTTACTAGCTCGTCAATCGATTTTTTATAACTGCTTAATGCTTTGTGTCCGACCTCAGAACTGTTAAGCTGGTGGTCGCGAAATACATGAACAATGGTTCGAAGACACCTATGATCGAATACTAGTAACGTGTGAATATACTTTTTTTTTTAAATTACATCTCATACCCATAAAGTAGGACAGAGAGAACTAGTGAGCAGTAGACTCGTTCTTTATTCAGTGAATGAGTCTCTTCTTACAGTAAAAGTGACGTAAGTTGTCAGAAACATAACTGCTGAATGGTTTAGAAGGGAAGTTACGTGTTAGTTGGTACTCGTCGCAACAAGGAGTATCTGTAATCTTGTAGGAACTGATAACCCACATCAAATTCGAACAGACATCACTCAGTGTCACAGTCACAAACTTCTCCGGTAAACTACGTGGACTGTAACTGAAGTAACACAAAATTGATTGGTCGATGAGTACGTATAACCAATGAAATATTTGTCTGGTTTAGTTTAACTACCTCTGTTTTCGACTAAAACCCGGAGTAATTTCGTTAAGAATTTGATCTTTCACCAGATTTTAAGTCGTAAATCTATAAATTTCATGCTGATAAAGGTGATATGAAATTGCGCTAGGAAATCTACTTCCTCAAAATCAACACTATTTAAGACCATGAGTAAGCACTTATAAGAAAGACTATGAGACAAAGTAACTCCGCCTGTAGCTTTTCCAGGCTTACTGCCGGCCCCAACCCCCGGTAAAGGAGGAGGGGTGGGCATGGGATTAGCGACCTTATCCCGTGGAAGACTAACTCGCTAAAAAAACGCTAACCAGAAAAAAATAATTCATACCAATGAGACCGAGTTGATCACAGAATGTCTAGCTCGAACCTCATTGGTTTGTTGCCAAAGTATAATTTTACTGAAATACAAACATTTACCTAATTTTCCCTGTGACGAAACTTGGCCAAGTCAATTTTAATACACAGCATGTAATATATAAATTCTCTTAAGACAATTTGAACGGTTATTAATCCAAGTAAAAACATAAATTGAGATCGTGAATAGACCAATGTTAGATCACCATTGAAAACCTTTAAACACTGGACGACCGTTTAATCCTAGTATGGTACTCCTCAGTAGGGTGCATCCACGAGACCTGAGGTCCTAAGTTGGAATCACGCGTGGGGAATCGTGGATGAGCACTTCTGAGGAGTTCCATACTAGAACTAAACGGCCGTCCAGTGCTTACAGGTTTTCAATGGTGGTCATGATCTCAATTAAAAACTTAACAATCTCCAACGACCCTATACTGATAAAAACATTAAAACTTACCAATTTGTAAATGACCTAAGAAGTTTTCAATGATTCTTGTCTTTTTCTGTCCTAAATTACTGGGTAATTTCATCTGAAATATTTGATGAAAAAAATGATGGAAAGTAAATGACTGAATTCTATTGGGTTATGACTTTTCATACTAGAAATTGGCTTCAAAATTAATCATTAATAAGTCAGTCAGTCAGTCAGCCCTGCCCTGCCATATATAACGCAGAACTTAGCACATATATTCATAGATCAAAATTTCCACATAACATCAGTAAAACAAGATGAAACTATCAAGACAAAGTTCAGAGTAGTAGAAGTAGTAAAAGTGTATTATTTTTATTTTTTATTTTAACACATAGATATTGGTACAAGAAGGCACCAAATACATATGCGCCACACAAATCTTATTCGATATGTGTGAGGGCTGTGACACTGTCCGGGTGCCTATATCGAAGCAGGTGGTTATCTTAGGGGGCCACTCCCCGAGCCTTTGACCTAAAGGTCTGACCCACAAGGCAGTGGAGCATCGTAAGGAGATGCATTCCCATGGTAGCCGGTGACCAACGATTGGTTCATACGCCATTTGTTCCTTTAGGATACTGGGGCCCATGTGCACCATTGGTTTGTGATCCGGTTAAAGCGCCGGACATTCGCTTTTCGTCCTCTCATTTTTGTAAATAACAAAACCGCCACGAGAAGGCAGTGAGTAGGACATCCCTGGCAGAGGCTGTATACGCGTGACCATGTGAGAGCATTTCGAGGAGAGCGGACTTTCCCCACTCTCGGCCGTACCAGGGCATTTGGGGGCTTTAAAATATATAAAGCCAGCGACACCCGGTATTCCCAGCCGGTCACCCATGCAAGTACTGACCGGGCCTAACGTGGCTTAACTGCGGTGATCGGACGAGAAACGGTGATTTCAACGTGGTATTAGAAAACACTAGGCATAGACAATATGATTCGAAAAAGAATTGATTCGTGAAGTAGAACATAGAAATTTACAACTCTAGACATAAAAAATAACAAAGAATGAATGTAACGGATTCTTATCACCGAAAGTCTTCAAACATTAGTCACGGTAATCATGTGAAATGCGAATAGGCAGACTACGCCCGCCTCTATGCCTCAATCCAACAGTCAATGAGTTCATGAACTGACGTCTTGATTTGCCCGCTATCCTGGTCAGCCTTCTGTGGGCATTATTAGTATGAAAGGCTCATAATTGTTCAATAGTTAGTTTGCACCACAAACTGACTTTTCTAGCTATACAACATTGGAGAAATCACGGAGTAATCAAGAACTATCTTGTTCTGACATTTCAAAAATTCTAATAAGAAACCACGAGCAATAGAGTTCAATCGTGCCCCAGGATGTAAGACAAGCATTGTCGATGGTAAACAAGTAGGTGACAATTTGTAAGTACAAGTGAAAATTCCAAATTTTTTACACTACAAACAGTCCCAAGGATTGACTGTCTATACAAACTTCAATTTTCTAACTGTGTAAAAATTGAAAATAAATCTTGTCTTATGTTGACGTTATTTATTGTTTATCTAAATAAATAAACATTGGTACGAGGTACCAAATATATATGAGCCACTCAAACCATTTGATTTGTATGAGAGCTGGTATACTGCTCAAACTCCCAAACCGAAGCAGTTAGTTTTTTAGGGGATTACTCCCCAAGCCTTTGACCTAAAGGTCTAATCCACAAGACAATGGAGCAACGTACTAATCATGCATGTCAACTACATTGTAAACATGTAAGGCTATTCACATTTTAATTATCGACAAGGATAAAAGAGGGAAAGAGCGGGGGAACTAAAAAATTATAAACAGAAATTTTATCAGGATAACTAGGCTAGTTTCACCGATTTATTCATCATACTCAATGTAGGACCTAGACACAACCTTGTATCAATCCAAGAGTACACACATATCACATCAATGTAGTGTGAGAGATGAAGCATCATCATAAAATAAGTGCCAAGTAAGAAGGAATTGATTCTAACTGAAACGGCATTTCAAAAAAGAAAAGAAATGAGATCGAAGAATTAAAAACCACAAGTGACAATTAACTCAAGTTGTAAATATCCAATGCCAATAATTATTAGGTCCCGATAAGCATAATCAATGGTAACTTTTAGGATCCATTATGGACCAATACTATATATATATTTTTATCGCATAATTGTTATGTAACTAAACTATTCATATCCGTGTCCCACTTATTATGAGCTTTGTTTTGACCTATGAACTATTATTATACCATTTGCCATTCTTGAATTATGTCCTGTCTATTAATTACTACCCACTTCATTCACAGCCACATCTGGCTGATTCTTGTACAAATGTTGTTTTCTATTTTATGGTACGTTGTGGTCTGTTTGGTTGGTATATAAACTCAGTATGTTTGATATATAATGATTCATATTGCAGAGGCTGAGATTAGCGTTCTGGACTAAACCGGCTGGGCTAGGCGGAAAGCAGGACCAATAAGGAATCTAGACTGCTCATAAGGGTTTACGCGTCATTGGTCCGATCGATAAGTCACTGCTCTCTAATCGGCGGTCACAAGTTATAACAATAATCATTGAGAAAGAGTATTTTGCTGGAGCCAATTAAAGAGTATACACTTACTTAAACGACTTAAAGACTAAAAGTCAAGTAACTTCACAAACTGATGTCATGTCTTAATATGACCATACTCATAGCTTCTTTACAATTACATTGAATAGTAATAAGGTTTGTCAAACAATGATAAAATGATACAATAATTTAGAAAGATTAAGAGTAGTATGTAAAAATTAGGCCTTATTCATCAGTAATGAGTTATACCAAGTAAACAAACACCATTTACCTTTTGACTACGTAGATGAGCACCGGGATTTTTGCTAACATCCAAAAAGTTTATCGAATATTGTGTATTCTGAAGAAGAAAAAACACAAAAACTCAAATCAAAACTTTTTTGACCAGAAACACAATATGGAAGAGGAAAATTTTCGATATCTAAGACGGGATCTTTACCATTCATTGTTGGCATACGTGAGTATTGAATAGAGTTCCTCGATATACCCATTATGTCACAAGTTTACATAGATCAATGTCATGTATATCAAATCTCTCTTAGTGAAGATCGAATTCTATCGATCAAGTTACAATGTGACCACTAGTCAAGATAGAATTTAATCTTCACTAAGAAGGACTTGACATACATGGCATTCTGGAAACCATGAGAAATGATATTCAACATTATTTATCACTAAGCTATCTGGACAAATTTTGGATAACCTTCTCTTAAATGAGTAAGTGTATTGTAGTGATACTCGTCAGCTTTCAGAAAAAAGGAACCAACTATAAACCTTGAGAAGATTCACAAGTCACGTAAAACCACTGGATACATTAGTTCTTAGTATAGTTTCAGCTATAGACTCTTGAATCTTAAGACCTGTCCAAATACCGTCTACTTAGACGAGAGGTGTTAATTGGAGTAGCAGTGTAGGCTGTAAGAAAGCTAAAGATGGGCAAACTAAAATGTCAGACTATTTCATGAAATCATCGACTATATAGGCCTGACATTAGCTATAACACTTTATTACAATGATTAATCGCTGATGTATATTGACTCACACATCGTTGTCTAAATTGACTTCAGACTATGAAACAAAGGAATCTTGATTTTCAATCCATAGGTTGTAGATTTAAACCCAGCTTCCATTGAAATCAGTTTGAACGGACACAAAAAGGAATCACAAGCCTCACCTATATACACACATAAACTCTATGCCTTAAATCCAAGTATCTATAACGCTTAATAACATGAATTAAGTCAAGGAATACTTTCAACTCACTAATGCAGTATTAGCTGTATTCGAGGCAGAATTTAACGAAGCACAAATATCTCCGGAGGATATCGATGCTCCAGTATTAGCACCACCAGCTGCTCCTAGACTTGTTAAATTAGTACAACTAGAATCTGTATTGATGAGTGAATTTGTATTTCCAATTAACTGACTAGATGATGACGTAATATTGCCAATATTGTTATTACTAGCATTCAAACCACTAACACCACTTGGTCGTTTACGTTGTAATCCAGTATTTCCTGTTAGTGTTGTTGATGTTAACAATGAATTATTGGAAGATGATAAACCACCGCCAACAGACGAGTGTGTAGATGTAAGCCAAGAATTTGTATCATCTGTATTCGTCTCATAACCTGTATGCTCAGATAATTCACAATCCCGAGTTACACTGTCAGCCTACAAAATACAACCAAGATGAAAAGGAACTGGTTTGAGAAATAATTGGCATTCATTAAGTTTGACATAAATAATAATAATAACGAAAAATATTACAAACTTTGTACTTTGTACATTAAAATGTCAATCAATATTTCCATAGCATGTAAATTTTTCTCAAGTTTAACTCATTCTTTGTGTACTTAGGTATGAGCTACACTCTAAGTACGAAGGCTAACGATATTACTATCCAGAGTTTCCTAACCCAAGTAGGTGCAATGGGGCTCGAACCTGAGACCTAGTGGTTGAAAAGGCAAGCAAAGTGTTCTAGATAACTGACAATAATCCAGTAAGTTTTGTTATCTACAGATATTTATTTATTTATTTAAACACATAAACATTGGTACAAGGAGGCATCAAACAGATATGCGCCATATAAATCATTCGATTTTTGTGAGGGGTGGGATACTGCTCGGGTTCCCATCAAAGCGAAGTAAGTGGCCTTTCTAGGGAGCCACAACCCGAGACACTGACCTAAAGGTCTAATCTATAAGGCAGTGGGGCAACGTCAGGAGATGCAGTACCATGGTAGCCGGTGACCAATGCCATTTGTTTCCTTAGGATCCTGGAGCCCATGTACATCATTGGTTTGGAATGAGGATCTTCCAATCACCCTAGGTAAATCCTCTGCATTCATCAACCCGATTAAAGCGCCGGATATTCGCTAATCGGTGATCAATAATAAATCATCTTCAAACACTGTTTTATTACCGTAAACTACGGTTTATTTACTAAACGTCTATAGACTTTATAAAAGAAATCTCCATTGACTACCTTACATATACTGTAAGATTTAGAAGTAATTCCACTAGAGAAAAATAAAAAAAAACAAATTTACCAAAGAGCATAAAATTTTCCCTAAAAAATATACATTTACCAATGAGATAAGTTTTTGTAAATCTTGTTTTTTACGTTCACGTTCTTTACGTCTAGCTTCAATTTTACGCAATTCCATAATTAAACGTTGTTCTTCTTCAACTTGATCTTTTGTACGACCATAAAGTAAACTTAACTGTTGTTTACGTCGACGTTCATGTGCTGCATCATATCGTAGACCTTGTGAAAGATTTGTTCCACGAGCCTTAAGATGTAGAATCAGACGTAAAAATAAGTACTGGGTAATTGAAATGATCCTTAGGAATTCTTAATTCACTTAGGCTTTATACCAATAGACACTTGTCAGTGAAATGTATTTAATAGAAGTATTTTTAAACAGATAATGGAAATAATATACATCACCAAAAAAAGTAGGTTGAATATATACATTAGGATTTTGAAACCACGAACTGATTTTAGCTAGACCATCAATGAAAACCTGAAAGTACTGTAAAGCTGTCTCGTCCTAGTATGGGACCCCTCAGCAGTGTGCATCCATGACCCAATCACGAGGAATGAAACCCAAGATTTTCGGTCTTACACACGAAGGCTTAACCTCTAAACCGCTGAACCGGTATCCAGCGCTGTGAATGTTCTCTTTATTTATTTATTTAAACACATAAACATTGGTATAATAAGGCACCAAATATATATATGCACAAAACAAACCATTCGATTTGTGTGAAGGATAGAATACTGACCGGGCGCCAAAACCAAAGCAGATGGTTTTCTTAGAGGACTATACCTCGAGACACTGACCTAGAGATCTAATCCACAAGGCAGTGGAGCAACGCCAGAAGATGCAGTTTCATGGTAGCCGGTAACCAATAATAGGTGAGCATACGGATGATATTGTCTTACAGTGCATTAAAAACGATAGCTCACTTAATGCTTAAACGTTTAAAGTTCAGTTTTTTAACAACAAAAATAGAGGAAATATAAGAATAACATTAAGGTTACCTTATCTAATTGTGTTAGAATTCCATAATATCTTTCTTTGAGATCTTCAACAGATGGACGTCCAGGGAACTTTTCACAATCCCATCGATCTCTCATATGAATAAAACGTAAATCAAAACGTTTAGCCAATTCCATCAAATGTGCCGTACGCTCTTCACTCCATTTTAGATCCTTTAGCATTGTTTCGTACTCTTCGGTAGTATATTCAGGAACAGTGACATGCTAACACAATTTTTTTTTCACGAGACATAAATAACAAGAAAATAACTTGCGGAAAACAAAAGGAAAGTATAATCATACATCGATTTCACTAGTGAAATAACTATTAGAATTCATCTGAAAGAAACGCTAAGTTCATAAGGCTTTACTACAGTTAGGATTAATACGTTGTGTACTAGTTATATCGCATACATAGGTCACCTTGTTTAATCCTCATCACTTTGAATTAGAATAAGATTATACTATTAACGTGATGAAATAAGAACAGTAGAGTTTCTTAACAAAATGTCAAAACAATACATGGTAAGTGAATTTTAAAAGTAAGGCATATGGCATGATGCAGTTTTACTTCCAACAGTTTTGTCACTAGTTACCATTCTGATAAGGTTTCAATTCACTAAGCTATATGATTATTGAAACCTAACACCAAGGAATTATGACAAATCAGTAGATAATAATTCAACATGACTTTGCATTATTGCACAGTATTGCACAGTGACTACCTTATTGGTTTCTTCACCCAATCCAAACGTTAGCAAATAATATGCAGTTTGGAAGCTGTTATAGCTAAATATACAAAAAGTAACCAAGAGGTAGGAGGTATTTCAAGAAAATATCAACCGTGGAATTTTCATAAGCACTAGGTTTCTAAAGCACACTATCGAACCTCAGAGGTTTGTTACGAATTATAATTAGAACTATGGGAATTACTCTTGACTATGTGGAGAATGGAGCATGTGTCACTGATGGCAATTTGTGATCGTCTCGTAGTATTGCGAATCAGGATGATTTCAAATCATAAACTAAGAAATATCGACTTAGGGATTTAAAAATAAAGCGACCGCTACAGGGCTTGATTGTCGTAGGTTTGGTTCATGGCAGGGGAATGAGGTATTCACTTCTGGGTAGTTCCAAACGAGAAACAAACAACCGTTTCATATTTTTTTATTTTCACCAGATAGTGACAATTCATCAATTCCTGAAGTGATTATCAGTTTATTTGAGCCACGTTGGTAGGGGCAGATTACCTATCTGTGGTCAACCCGACTATCACAAACAATGGTTGTGTAGCATAACTTAGAATCAGTTTCAATGGAGCAGATTAATTCACTTTTATCTGACCCTACATCATAAGTTACGCTTTTGATCTATCTCTTCTCGAACCATATTTTCAATGTTTGATGTGGTATTACCATTTCTACTACTTTTGATATTCAGCATGATTATTTGATTTCGTTGAACTGATGGGATGTTGAAGCTTGGGTGGGTGTATATGTGACAAATTACACATTGCTTATGACCGAGTGACTGAGCTGATGTGAATTCGTAAAAGTAAGTTATTTTCATACTAAAACTAATCTCCAGAAAACATACCACAATGCTTCATATGATATTAAGTAGTTTAGCTTTATTTTGAAAAAGTGTATAGTTAAGAAATGTTTTGATACACATAGTGTCAATATATTACCTTGTTGTATCGTGCAAAATAATAATCTTTATTAGCCTCTGGATCAGCGCTTTCTCGTCTCCAATGATATAAGACTAAATTATCCTAGTAAGAGAAAAATGAAGTATCCAAGACATAATCTACTATGTTAATTCAATTGTAAATCTTGATAAATAGAATATTCCTGTTAATTATTATTACGGTGTTTTACTGTGAATAAAGATAGACTGTAATACAATATTTAGTAATGTACAAATAGCATATAAAGTTTAAAGGGATTACTCAACGCGTAATTTATATAGTGGATTGACTAACTTTGAGATAGATGCTTTAGCGAAAGACAGTAACCAAAACAATTTGATTATGTATCAGTAATTCTAATGGATAATGGTTATAAAGTATCGCGAATCGACAGTAATTTAAAATGTAAACTATTGGATCTCAACTAAATGTCCCAGTATGTTCGCCGCAAAATTTGAAGATCTTGGAGGATATGTGATCCACATTATTAGCACTAAGATAAAACAGCCATGCAGAGTTGATTGGTCTTCAATGTTCTTTTAGACAAAATTAATCTGTTATATGAACTACAAGTGTACGTGCAACAATAAAAACTATCAATCAAAATATTGACAAATTTAGTGGGCCGTTAAAAAACACATGAACAATAATTCAAATGCACAAATTAAAGTAGGTTGTTTTCTTAGGGTACCACACCCCGAGACACTGACCTGAAGGTCTCATCCACGAAGCAGTGGAACAACATTAGAAGATTCAGTTCCATGGTACACTGTGGCCAAAAATAGGTTCATACTCCATTTGTTCCCTCAGGATCCTGTAGCCCATGTGTACCATTGGTTTGGGACCAGGGCTTCCCAACTTCCCTAGGTGAATTATCCGTACTCACCAACCGGGTTAAAGCGCCAAACATTCTCTTTTCGTCCTCTCAATCTCGTAGATAACACCCCTAACGTGAGAAGGTAATGAGTAGGACTTCCCTGTCAGTGGTTATATATACGCGTGACCATATGAGACCATTTCGAGGATGGGAACGAACTCTTCCACCATCCTCGGCTATACCAGGGCATTTGGACAATTCAGTTATACCTAAGTATTTGAAATCAATAACTAGTTGGATTTAATTAGATTGGTAAAGCTAAATACGAATAAAGTTGAATTTAACGTGAATGATCGACTACAAACGTTAGCCTCGTTTCTTATATTAACATTTTATGCATGGGGACCATTAAATCAGCTCTTGGAACATTAAGCATATTTACTGAGCACGTGTTTATTTAATTCGCCTTCCGAGTTTACAGTACAAAAGTCCAAGTGCGGGCTAAATAAGTCAACAATGCAATCTCCGAAATTGATAGCAAATGGAGCTGATTTGCGTTGAATAAACAAAACAGTCCCTATCAACATTCTATTTACAACCTACTGAGTAACTGATAAACTATATAAAAAAACCGAAGTGTTTACTAGTCAGGAATAAAAAGACAGCATTCTCACTCAAACATCACTCAATATAGTATGTATGTAAATACAAAAGACTAACTTGTCTAGCGGAATTTGTAAATGGTGTCCATTGCCAAGAACGAACTCGCCCTACACCAATCACAGCTTTAGGTTGTTTATAAAGAGGTGTATTATCAGTTGGCATAATCGGAGGAAGATTACTAAACGCAAAAATAGAAGAATTGGTAAAACATCTGCTACAGTAGGATTCAAAATGAAATATATAGTTTGACGACTACAAATACTTATCCCAATCAAATATTTATTGGATATTTACAATACACAACACCGAATTAGAACGACCTCAACTGATTATAGGCATCGTTGAACGATTGTTCACATATTTTGGAACCATTGAGTTAATAATTTTGAGGTTAGATACAAAGTGATAGATAATTATAGCAAATCATTTGACAAGGTAGTGAATCTTTATCGGCTGATACAGTTAACACGTGTATTACGTATGTCTATCCACCGACTAAATTGACGCGAGATGATGCCTGGTGTAGGAGTAGGTTGGAAAAGAGCTTGAAGTGGCCAAACCAACACATTATATCAGTCCATGAAAGACACTGATTGTAAAACTGAGCCATGTACCTGAGTGTACACCACCTGGTTGTGATTTACCTGATTATCGTAACCATTTGTTAAAGACTTTCACCATCCACTCGTTTTCTTTTTTCAAATCCTAAATTTATAAATTCCTCATCAGTTTGGTTTAATTTCACTAATTTATATTCTCTTCTCGATGATCAATACTTTCTACTACCTCTACTACTCTGGGACTTGCCCTGATAATTTTATCTCCCTGTAGTAATGTTGCATGGTAACGTGAACCGATGTACACATGTGCTAGGTTCTACATCACATTTAACTGACTGCGGTGCAACCGAATCTATTTTTTATCAAAGACAGTTAATCTTCTCGTTTTTGGTTGGTTAGTTTCCGGTGAAATATTTTCATTTTTACAATTTCCCAGATCCTAATCCACTAGCAAATGCAGAAATTAATATTAATACTGTTATCACCACTATTAATGGGATTTGCACTAACAATTTCATCGCACTGTACTAATGGTGTATGGCAACTTGCATTGATGTACATATGTGCCAATTTCTATGTTGCGTCTGAGTGATTGACTGGTCATTAGTTAAAACTAACGAAAAGTGAACATTCGCTAGCTAAAGATTGTTTCACAATAGCTTTATACACCATATTTATGCAGTGAGAAAACTGTGACTTTAAAAAACTACGGTCTTTCTTAAGAATTAAACATTTATTGTTCATTATTCAGTATAGAAACACAAACCTTTGGATAAATGATAGACTGAGCTACATAAGTTTGAGCTTCAGAGTACATATTTCCTAGTTTTTAGACAAGTTTCTCTAATCAACATTAAATATCTACAACGTTTAGGTTCTCATCGTCCGACTGCTCAAGATATCTAAAACAATGCACTATACTGTTATTCATTTAGTTTCGTTATAGAATTCAATAGTAATGGTGCTGAACAACAACTAGATATGAATCAATGTGACAAGAAATCACGTCGATGCCTTGAAATTTTTCAAAGCGAATAATAAACAAACAAGTTCCGGCCATTCGAAACTTGCTGAAGCCACTACTACAGGGATTCAGGAATCCCACCAATGTGTTTAAAAGGAGATGGCTGTTAATCTTTCTCTGTCTTGGTGACCGATATTTCTTTATTAAACAGTAAAATTTTATTCAGCTTCCAATTAATTGCATCAGCAAGTCTTTTTATTTCAGCTGTCTTCTAAATCGGCAGTCTTGTCTGAACTAAGCTTTACTTATTTTATTCCCGCATAGTATTAGCATTTATTCATTGCGTAATCACTTGTTCCTAACTCTCTGGCCTGTCAATGTTGTAGAATGATTTTCCACACAAGATATATACTTACGTCCTATTTAGTCTATTAAGTTTACTTACACCCTGATCATGTCAGCTTGTTAAATAGTACAAGTTGTAAGCAGCTGACGAGAACCAAACAAAAAATGAACTCAAACTATTCTTCTCAAGTCTTTGTTTTCGCTCTCTTGACGATGATAAAGGGAAGTATGTATCAAGAAAATTACATGGAGATAATGGGCTATACACGCGCTCGATTATCAGTTAACTTTCAAAGGAAGATGTAAATAAATGGATTAATATATAATAAATACTTTAGTGCTGAAAACATCACGATACGAACTGTATTATTTTCAAACAAGTTTAAAGGTTTTTATTGAGATCATAAACCGATCAGTGTTAGACCGCCATTGAAAACATGTAAGCACTGGATGGCCGTTTTGTTTCTGGTTTTGAATGATGGCATAACATTGATCGGTTCATAATCTCAATAAAGCTTAACAAACTTCACAACCATGTACTGACAAGTTGGAAAGTGCTTAGAAATGATATTTATGGAATACTTCTGTCTCATACCAAGTACATTTTAGCGTACACACCATTTTACTCACGTTGCTCGTGTGAAGCCTGTTGATGATACCCAACTGAGGAAACTGAAGTACGTAGAGAAGGCGTCAAACATCTGACCCACTAGCTTCAGGTAAAATGTTTCAACCACACAGTCGATCTTGCCTGTCTCCAGATCTCAGTTAGTGAATTCATCACCCAAACCTTATGTTTTTGAATTCCTATACCAAATGACCTCCAACCTGTCCTTATATATATATATATATATATATATATATATATATATATGGCTGTAGGCATCTGACGAGATACATCGAAATATGATGAATTCACGTTATTCTGCATCGACGTTTGTTATGGCTTTATTCGAATTCGTAAAGGGGACCAACTGCATGGCACTGATTTACCGAACCGTTACACCATTACACAAAAACGATTGCACAAAAGACGAGTTTGAGTGTGAACCAGTCGCTAAAATAACTTGTAAAGCTCAAACAATAGCATGTACTTCTTTCGTTTAAACACAAAACTAATACATATACTGAAAGAAAAAGCTGTCTAATGATTATATGTACGTCAATTCTCTAGACATAAAGATCGTAATTTTGTTCAAAATAAATGAAGATGTGTATGATTCAGTAGTTCTATGGATAGATAAGCTAATAGCTAAATACATACAACTATAAAATTCAACGGACGATCATTTTTTGAATCGGGATGTTATTTTAATGAGATGGAAACTCACTTGTTAAGAGTGCTATGTAAACCCCAAACTTCACGAGGAACATGATCGGGTCTTTTTGGTGGTGGGTTGGGGCGAGAACTTTTTCTCTACAATGTTAATAACATTTGAAATCGAAATAATTTGTACTTACTTTCTCTGCACGACTCAGAATGGCTTCTCTATCAAGCATAGACTTTCTGGGACTTGATTCATTCAGATCGAGAATATCTAGGACATCTATTGCAGTACCCATTGTTTGAAAGGCAATGCAACTAAAAGCAAATTTTAAAAGTAAACCGCTTAAAGCATATTATGACACAAACATACAACTATCAATACTAACCAATAAAACACAAGTTACCCACACAACTCACTGGTTCTTTATTATCGTCCATAGGGAAACCGATAATGTGAACCAATTAGAAAATGAGAATGCTGAAATTTAGGACTTAGTCTGTTAGATTAAAAGTTTGAAATCTACTCCGGATCGGATTTTCGACATTTGGTTCACCATACAGAGTATGCGTATTGCAGCTTGAGAATATAGGTGGCACCCAACTGATAAATTATCTTTTTGATGAACCAACTGTTCGAGACTTGTAACATTAACTTCAAATGGTTTAGTTGATGTTAAGGAATTCATCATAAAATTCTAAAACGGTCTTATGACTGTTGCAACAATCTCAGCCCTAATGGGAATTTTAGATTCCAGGTAGGTAAACAAGTAACTAAGAACATGAGGTATGAATATGCACTATCTTACTTTATTCTAACTAACCAGAAATCGTCCACTATTAAAAACATTAACACACTGCATCCAACGGACGTGATTGCGATCAGAAGATTGATTACCCAGATACACAGCTAGAAAATGCTCGAAAGAAAACTGTTTGGCCTAGCAGACACAACTTTACTTCATCATAAGTGTTACTGAAAGCAACTTGTGCGAAATACTGGTCCAGTGATGAAAATTCATCTATTGCGGATACATATGTCAACGTGATACTACTGTATATCGAACGTTTTGAGATAAATAATGGCCAGCAAGGTAAAAATTGCACACGAAAATTGATAAACACATGTATAACATACAAGAAGATGACAATACCAATTGAGTAACGCAAGACTTGTTCCCGGCGCTTTAACTATTAATATCATATATTCAACACTTTTAAGACATATGTGTATTTACTTTTTTATTTTTTGAGCTCTTTTTTCATTTTTTTGATGAGGTTTTAGGTCTGCAGGAGTATCCAGTGAGCAGTAGTCTAACCGTTAGACCGTACTAATTCTAGTCATTTGAATAGTTTTTAGTAGCCCATGTATCTGACTCCATTTAAATCGTATAAATGTTTGCTATCGCCTATTCTTGTATGTCGTCATCGACTTGAACGGCGTTAGTCAATAACGGAATTAAATAAGTCGAATAACGAGAATCGACTTGTGAATACATATATTTTGTACATGAAGCGAATGAAACATAGCAAAGCAAAATGACACGTATGGAAGATGGCTGGGAAGCCAACTCCATCTTTGTCAAGCGTTACTAAATAATTATAGTCAGACAAAATAAAGCTACAGACATGTGATTAATGGGATAAGAAGGGCACACACATATACGCTCATATAAAAACAGTTAAGACTGATAAGCAAATAATTGACAAGGTCAACATATGACTCAAGTAGAATGAATGGAATGGAATGTCCGAAAGCTAGAATAAGATATATGGGCTTAAAATAATGACTGACACTACAAGTTTTTGCGAATTTCTGTCTTACGATTCGAATGCATGCATCCGTTTCAGAGGATTGATTTTTCTAGAACCAACAGCTATCTTATTACCAGGCAAGGGGTTGTTTGGTCATAATGTCAAAACAATGAAGCGAAGAGCGAAAAAAACAATTCCAAGTTGACCAGACCAAGCTGTATCCGTACAAAATGATGAAGTGCATTTGATTGGGCTGCATTCCGAATGCGTTTCGGGCTAGTTTCCGAGTTGTCTCAGACCGATAGACCAAGAGCATTCTCTGAAGGAATAACCATAAGAGGATTATCATAGATAATACAAGTTGTTTGTGTCTCCTGAAGTTAAGTGCTCATAACATTGTGTTTTGACAGGTTAACCTTTTAGCCATCGTCTGTTGCCATTTCCCCCACTGTTTTAAGATTCTTTCGAAGCTTCAGTGAATTCCTTTCATTTGCAAAGGATCATCTATTCTGTACACCGTCAGAGCATTTTAAGGTCATAGGGTTGGTTTTATCTAGGACGCCGTTAATAAAAATCAGGAAGAGCAGTAGTCCTTATGTGATTCCACGTTAAACTCACGATGCTTAGACTTTTCAGCTCGCATGCATTCTGCATACCTTGAGGCTCAGCATCTAATTCTAAAAGTCGATGGATATAACACGGACCGATATGCCTTGGTCATGATAGATTAATCGCCCGCAAGTTATGAGAAGACTGAACGTTAAGCAGTGACCTTCCCTGGATTTTTGTCGAGCTTCATGGATGATGTTGTTTCCCCGTTGTTCCCTCTTTCTACATTCCCTATAAACTTTTCGCCACCAACTGCTTTATTTCTGTTACTATAATCCTCCTGGCCAAATTTCATCTCAATTTTAACGTTATATCTGATCATGCTGAGCTTTCCTTTCCCAATTATAATTTTACTATCTATCTTCATAATGAATATTCAAGTCCTCAACAAAAAAACTAATATAAGATTCCCTACTAAAAAATAGCATTTTGAAACCTTTGTTTATTCTACCTCACTGTTACAATGTTTACCCGGATATTATTAACACTAATAATTGTAATTATTATCACCTTGAGAAATAAGTATATATTTTTGGTTGTGCAGCTTTGAAAATGAATTCGCCAAGAGAAGAATATGTAGAATCATGGTCTAACTCGGCATCAGTACACTCATCTTTGTTACTAATAATAATGGATCTAATCCTAAAATTGTAGATTTGTCAAGACGTGATTACCCAAGATCATACATAGAAGTCACATCATTGCCTATAATGACGCGTCCTATCGTGAAATTAGCAACAAGACGTTTAGCAGTATTGAAGAACATATTTTGGCTGAGGATGGAACAGTGTACTTTCTGTGAACAGGGATAAATTACACAGAATGACCACACCTTCAAGGTCGATCGATGCCACACCGAACAACTGTTCCCTCCTCAACCATCTCTGATTCTCTTTCTGCGTTATATATCGGATGTAAATTTTCTCAGTTTCCTCATGTTCGGGTCTAAAGATAGTGTGGTTAGGAATCGTTACCACTACGAACACTTCGCTGAATGAATCCTCTTGCTTTTCTGTGTACGTCGTAGTCTGATCATCCACCAGTCTTCCTATTACCCTTGAAAGTGCTGAGGGTATTATGACTAGCCAGTAATAGGTTAGATTTTTCTACTCTCCTTTCAAGAATATTGAAGGGAGAGCAGACCATTTTCATTTTCCTGAAATTTGTTGTGATTATGGTGAGTCCCTAATTAGGTCACACGCATGTTTCGGAATCGCTGAGCGGGTGTTGTCACGTAGTAGTGACTTTCCTGGGTGTTCAATGACCAACACAGTACTGTGCTGTTACAAACCATTCTATATCTTTGAGCACTCGTCTTATTCTTAAAAGACGCTCGTAGATAACCAGTGGGTTTCTGTGAAGTCAGTCAAGCCATTGTGCCGCAACAGTTTCGGCGGATTAGATGAGTATTTGTAAACTGATATATTTTGAACACAAATTACCTTGTTTGCTCCAAGAGAATGGAGTTATGGAATTTTGTACGATCAATATTAGTCGATATAATTGCATCTCGCCATGCTACTAGAATAATAGAACCAACCCAAATTCTCAGATTAGCCATAATGTGACTATTTAATCTATAGGATCTTAAGTGGAATCACATCATTCTCTATACTGGGTTGTCCTGTTGTGACAGTCATCAGTGTGGTTTTTAGGACTTCTGAAGAACAAATTTAGGCTGGAAGTAGAATAATATATTTAATACGGAATGGAAGGAGTTACACAAATTGACCACGGCTGCACGGTTAAGCTATGCCATATTGAATAAGTATTTCTGCGCTCATTATTTCCCACCTTCATTAAATTTTAAACATTGAATGTAACTTTCCTTAGTTGTTATGTGTTGTACTTCAAAGATCGTTTACGTATGAGACAACACCATTACAAGATAACCTAAACGTCACCAGGCAGTCGTTCACTTGGTTATATTATAATTGCTATGCCGAAGTCTGAGCTGTGAATGAAAGAAGTTTTGTTATAAGAATGAAAAAAGAGCATAGAGAATAATATTTATTCTAATGAACGAGTTGTTTTGAAAACAAGTAGGATCAAGACACTTCTTTGACATTCTCTGTTGTCCACTTTGAGTATGTTCCTGTCAAACAATTTTTATCGGGTAGCAGCCAGAAGATAATACATATATGTACTAACAACAGAAAACAGTCAAATGAAGTAACAATAGATAGTATGACCGATTCCATAGCCTGATAAATATTCCAACTTACCCAGAACCAGTAAATGGAAGACAGCTTAGGGCTTTCACACTTTCATTGATAGCTGCCTAATGCACGTCCCTAAATGAATAACTTTCAGGAGACCTTTTAAGTGCATAGAGCATATTGTACAAAGTATATCGTATTGAATCAAACCATTACTAATTATGACAATAATATTGGAAAAGAATATGCTACTATTATATGTAATACTAGGATTGAGGAGGTAGTTGCAAAAACAACGACACGCCTTCACTATGACAAAACGTAGAAACAGAACACAGCATTTTTTAAAGATAAAGTACTAGCTGAATACTGTTTGCACATTTCTTTAAACACTCAGATAAAAGCTACTTCTTACGTTCCACAGATCCAGAAGTGGATATGAAAACCCGAGCATCATGAAGTAGTTTCACTACTCGTCTACGGGACATTACTGAGTAGCATGTCGATTTTTCAATAAACCTTCACAAATTTCATGACCGAGCTGGCTATGTATGGTAATTAGCAGTATTCAGATTGGTTATATAACTAAAAGTCCCGGAAGAGTAGTTCAAGGCAGGCGGAACTAAATGAGGATAACTGAACGTATTACATTTGGAAATCGTAATAAGCGTAGAATCGATTTCAAAGAAATCATCACTTAGTACAAATAGCACACAGTCGGATTTTACTAAATAGCTATCTAATCACATATGTGTACTTGGTGATAGGTATCTTGAGATGGCTCTTCACGAGTAGAATAGCTCTTTGATCTACTATCAGGACGTTTTGGAGTGCTACTTGAGGATAAAAGTTTTTATTATTCATTTACGGAACACCTTACTAAAATCTGAGAACCATACATTAAGTACTTAATTTGCAAAATGCCAATTAACTGTCTCACACTTGACTGTTCCTTTTGCAAATATCAGTCAATCATCTCAGACTTCATCATTCCTGCATTTTCATATTAATTGCTTTGTATCCTCATACTTTCCTTCTCGACCTTCTACTGAAATACATTCTATTCCTAACTATCGTTACATACTACTCATGTCGATATAAGTAACACACACTATAATAGTACCTTAAATCCTAGCATTAAGATTCATACAATTTCAATATCAAATAGCTCTCTACTGAAGACATCTATAAGCTCCTGATTGAAAAACATTATCCAAATAACCTTATCGGTTTTTCCAGAAAGCTTTACCAACTATAATTATTATTTAACTTAAACAAGCCAGAACTCTTTAACCTTGAGAAAATAAATCAATAAACAATTGACTATAACAATTATAATTGATTTTATTAAATTAAAAACAACATAAATATACCTGGGGAAAGAGAAGAGAAGGAAATGGGCATAAACAAACCTCCACCCCCCTGAGATTTCATTACTTATCATGTCTTCAATAAATAAATAAATAATGCTAGTAACACTTTATGACGTAATAATAATGATTAATCAATTTACTTTTATTAGACAACTAATAAAAATAAGACAATGAAAGGCTTTCACATTGGTAACATTGACAAGAAATAGACATTTGGCGAGAAACAAAACTTAAACTATTCATTCTCATCATTTTTAACAACAAAAATAATGTAAACAATGAATGGAACATGATTTGAATATGTAAACCTATATGTTGTTTAAAACAGAAATTGAATTAGACAAAATGATTTGTAATATTGACTTTATAATAGTTAAATAGGCACCGCCCCCCCTCTGGGATTAATGCTGATCCAAAGCTTGGATAAAAGAAAACAGTTGGATATGGGGTTAGCAACCACATCCAGTAGATAATTAACACGCTAAAAAACGCTAACCACAAAAATAATGTATATATATGGATATGGATAGATAGATATATAAACTGAGTTCCATTGAACAAGGAGATTCTTTTTACAATTTGGCGCTTTGTGTCACACACACACACATTCGCAAATACATATTGACAAATGAACAACTTTGTTTTGTTTTGTTTGTTTCTAAACATTGTTTCAATGTATTCAATATAATCAAGTGTATATTTATATAAATTATTATATACTACTATATATACATACATATATATGCATAGTATTATTATTTTAAATGTATTATACTACTGAAATGAATAAATAAGTAATAAAATAAAACATTCATCATAAAATGGATTTTGAGCACACACAGAAGAAGAAATGATAATTAAAAACATTGACCTGAGTAAAAATTGAAGGTCAATTGAAAAATGAAAAAAATACTATGTGATTGGATGATATTTCTAGCTCAAGTATCAATTATGTTTGTTTATGTTGTTTGTCCGTTTGTTTGTTTGTGTTTGTGTTGTTTGTCTGTTTGTTTGTTTGTTTGTTTGAAGTACTCGATTGTATTAACTTGTTGAAACAGAAAGCAAAAAAAAGTAAAACACCCTGAGAAGTAAAATATCAAAAGTATAATGAAATGATCCTGTACGATAGTGAAGTTGAAATGTAAAAAAAAAGAACTTTAATAATCAATTAATAACTTCATAATAATCTTCAAATAATTTAACAAAATGATAATCCACTTTAGAACAATATGGACAAATAATTAAATTACTATATTGACTAAAATAATTTAATGGATAAGATTTAATTGTAAGATTATTTAGGGATTGATCAATATTATTGATTGAAAATTGATTCTGATCATGATATTGATGTTGATGAGGTAGATCATTTGATGATAATTGTAATGTACTTGTAGTAGTAGTTGTTGTTGAGGGTGAGGAGGAGTAGGGGGACGATATTGTTGAATTGGATGATAGTGATAAACTATCTAAACGTGATTGACATGAACCACATGTTAAATGAGCTGAACACATGGTACAGCAGCAAATATATCATAAGTGTAAAGACCACCAACTAGTAATGAATTGCCTAAATGTTGAAAATAAACAAAAAATAAATATAATATTTAATAGAATATTCTTAAGTGATCAGTGGAACAACTGAATGTCGTGCCTATCTCCACAAACCTCTTCAACTAGTATATCATATAATCAAGAAATAAACGAATTGAGATACTAAATAGTTTTATCAGTATAGGATTATGAATGTTTTTGAGATTTAATTGAGCTCATGAACTAATCAATGTAAGATCACCATTTTATTTATGTATTTATTTATTTATTGGAACAGGTTAATACATCTTACAAAGCGGCACCGAATACATATGCGACATACATGTCACTTGATTTGTATGCGGGCTGTAATACTGCTCGAGTGCCCAAACCGAAGCAGGTGCTATTATTAGGAGGCCACACACAGAGTATTCGACCTAAAGATCTGATCCGCAAGACAGTGGAGTAATGTCAGGAGATGCAGTCACATGGTAGCCGGTGACCACGATTGGTTCATACGCCATTTGTTCCTTCAGGATCGTACAGGCCATGTGTTCCATTGGTTTGGAATCAGGGTTATCCAAATTCCCTGGATAGATCCTCCCTACTCACCGACCCGGTTAAAGCGCCGAACATTCGCCTTCCGCCCTTTAAATTGCGTGACCTAAGGTCGCAGGTCCAAATCCCGTCTGAGGGGCCGCGGATGCTCGCCACTGAGGGATCCCATACTGCGACGAAACGGCCTTCTAGTGCTACCAGTTAACATTTTTCATAATATTTCAAAAATTCATAAGCGTTCAGACCAAAACTACAAACTTCTATCTTCCTTTTTTTTCATCATGATTTTCATATGGAACCAATACACCTGTAGTCAAATAAAAAATTAAATGAAACGCCAAACATGCCACATTGATTGAATGTTATTCATCATTTAACAAGGAATCAGTTGTTAACATATAAAATGTTCATTTTCTTGATGTCAATTTACATTTGTGAACAAACGCTTTTGTATATGAACTACATTAAGTCTAACTGTAGATCTCAGCTAAAGGACGTAAATCTAAGCTCAACTTTACGTTGATAAATACTTTTAATCGTTTAAAGTGTCGAGATTTTACAAATTTGAATTGCATTTCTTTAATAACGCATTATAACATTATGGTGTGTACTACTGATATCGACAGATATAAGTAGTATCATCAATCGCAAGTGAAATGCCTGCTGGCAGAAGGTTAAGAAGATCAAAGAAAAGAGAACGAGAACAGAAAATGATTATTATAGAGACGAAGGAACAATGAAGTTCGCGACGATTGATTAACGTTTTGCAAACGAAGTACTTCACAGATTTTTACTAATATGTTCTGTAATTTTGTATTCACATACATATGATTGTCCCCACTTGTGTACTCGTTCACTGAATTTCGTGTCACTGCCAACCAAGAGGGGAGAAAGGTGCCGTCATGCAGACGCCGTTGCGAGCCTGAAGCTGAGGTGCCACTTGGGGCGGTCTGGTTTAGGAAGACGATATCGAGTAGACTGTTCGGGAGGGTGGCATTGGCTTTGACGAGTGCTGTCGACAGAGAGGAGCGGTGGGACGTGTGGCTGCTTGGCAGAAATTGAATGTAGATGGCTTGGAAAGTTGCTGGTACACAAGCGTTGAGCATCCCGGTGCTGGATGTACGTCGGATTTCAATAACCCAGTCTCGACATTTTGACGGTGAACATGACACAGCCAGCAGATTCACCTCAAGAATGATTGTTTTAAAGGGTAGACGTGTATAGTGTGTGCTACCGACATCAACATATATAAGTAGTATGTATCATTAATCGAAAGTGAAATGTCTGTCGGTCGAAGGTTAAGACGATCGAAGAAAAGAGAATTATTGGTGTAGAAACAAAAGGACAATGAAGTCTAAGATGATTGACTGATATTTTGCAAATGAAGTATTCACTAAATGGTTCATGAGATGGTGGAGATTTGTAGCTCAGGTGGATGATTTTGGTGGAGTTTTGTTCTCTGAGCTGGATAGATAGACTTCTATCTGAAGTTTGTGCTGATGATGTCGTTCAGAAGGACGATGAAAAGCTCCACGACCAAACCATCCAGCTCAGAGAACAAAACTCCACCTAAATGGTTCATAGATTTTACTAAGAGATTCTGTAGTTTTGCATTCACATATATTTAGTTGTCCCCCTATGTGTTCTTATTCACTAAACTACTATTTAGAAAGAAAATTTATTAAATTTTTTTCAATTTGAGAGTATGTTTGTTTTTTTCATATTACCTCATGACAACCAAGTGATTAAAATAATTAGATCTCTTTGAAAAATATGTAATTCCCCCCCCTGCTTTTACCAACAACAACAAAAAAACTTTTTTCTCTTTTATGTACTTTTAAAATAAGATAAATAAAGGGGAAAGTACAAGAATTTTTTCATTCTACTTATATCCAATAATAAGGTCATGGTGTGTGTGTGAGAGAGAGAGAGAAAGAGAGAAAGAGGGGGGTACAAAGAAATGTATAATCCACTATAATCTTATTGATTTCAAAAGAAAAAAAATTTTTTAATGCACAGAATAATAATAATGGGTTTTATTTAAACAGAATGATGGTATGACCAAGGGTGCGGATATTATGTTATTGTTGTAACGCGTAGTGTGTGAGACTGCAGGTTTTGATAAGCAGCGTATTTATCGATCGCCTCTGTGACAGTGGACACGTAAACACGTATGGACGACCCTGTGCCCTGATTGGTCCCGCTTCGCAGTCTGTCCTAGCCAGTTGAGTCAAGAACGCAAGTCACAGCCTCTGAGTTATGAATCATTGTATTTCAAACATACTCTATTTATATACCAAGCAAACAACCCACATCGTACCATAAAATAGGAAACAACATTTGTACAATATTTAACAAGTGAAATAAACATCGACCAATAAGAAATGTACATTTAAGGTTCAAGGACACCATTGAACTTAACATGGTAATTATTGGTCTCTTTTTCCGACTATCCCAACACCTCCCCTTTTTCGAAAGATGCGGAGTTCATATCTGCGTTTTAAAATTTTCTGCGTCCGTCCTCCCCCGCGAAATAACGTTGGGTCCTCATATACCCAAGCAACAGTTAGTCTGACTCTATTTAAAGCATATTTCGCGCATTGAGTAGAGGGTTCACTAAAACTGACTAGATGATAAGGATTAGCGACACCAGACATGACGTCATTAAGGTTTGATTTTTGTGCAACATATTCTTCAGACCTCTTCAAAATGCGATCACTGGATAATAGGTCACTAAAACAAACAGCATCTTTGAAATTCATATCAGATTTCTGACCATCATTTGATGCACGGGAAACATTTTCTGGCACGAGAGGTTCTTCTTGTAAGCTGGATACCTCACATGTTTCAGGCACAGTGGGATTTGAACCCACAACAGGGCATACTTCTGAATTGGACAATTCTGGATCTCTGGATGGATCATGAGCGACTGCCTCGTTTGCATTACTGATCGTAAGGGATTCATAGAGGCTTTTGTTTTCATCTTCATATGTCCTGCAGTCATTCTCGAGTTCAGTATGCAGGTGAGAAATTAATTCGTCAACCTCTTTCACATCTCCGAAACACGGGAGATTTAGCAGTCGCGTGCGCATATAGTCCAAAACATTCAACTGGCTCTCTCTGTAACGATCTAGTAGTATCTGCAATTGATCGGAGGGGATAGTCATTTTCTGAATCAGCAGAGTAATGAGAAATACTGTAATCAACTAACAACCAATGACTCCCAAGGACGCCGACGAAAAATCTGGATACTGATTGGTCAGAACAATTATACTGAATCTCGTCCAATTACAGGGTTCAAAATTCTCTCTACCCCGTCGCCAATTGTTGTAACGAGCGTGTGGGACTGCAGGTTTTGATAAGCAGCGTATTTATCGATCGGTACAGTGGACACGGAAAACACGTATGGACGACCTAGTGCCCTGATTGGTCCCGCTTCGCAGTCTGTCCTAGCCAGTTGAGTCAAGAACGCAAGTCACAGCCTCTGAGTTATGAATCATTGTATTTCAAACATACTCTATTTATATACCAAGCAAACAACCCACATCGTACCATAAAATAGGAAACAACATTTGTACAATATTTAACAAGTGAAATAAACATCGACCAATAAGAAATGTACATTTAAGGTTCAAGGACACCATTGAACTTAACATGGTAATTATTGGTCTCTTTTTCCGACTATCCCAACAGTTATCCCTATCGAAATGCTCTCATATAGCCAAGTATATATAGACACTGCTAGGGAAGTCCTACTCATTATATTCTCGTGATGGGTGTGTTGTTTACGAAATTGACAAGACGAAAAGCGAATATCCGATACTTTAACCGGTTTAGTGGGTATGGATGACCCACCTAGAGGAGTTGAAATACCCTCATTGCGAACCAATTGTGCACATGGTCTGCACGATCCTGAAGGAACAAACGGCGTACGAACCTATTGTTTGTCATTGGCTACCATGTGACTGAATCTCTCAACGTTGATCCACTGCCTTATGGATTAGACCTTCATGTCGAAGGCTTGGGGATTAGCCCCCTAAGAAAACCACTTGCTTTGGTCTGGGCACCCGGACAGTATTCCAGCCCTCACACAATTTGAATGACTTGTGTGGTGCATATCCATTTGGTACCTCCTTGTGTGTTTAAATAAAATAACTAGTCTGTCCCGTAAATTTGAAATCTCTTACAATCACCCAGTCCCTCAACCACTTGAGGAACTTCACTTGAAAACTAGCAGTTATTGTTTGAACTTCAGTAATGAACTTATGGTAACTAATGTAAAATTATGCAATGGATAAACGGAATCCATGTTTGTTAGAAAAAGTTACAAAGCATTTACATAATGCATATGCATAGTCTTCAAACGTCCATTTACATCTTTTGCTATGTTCTGCAGTCTAAACAATCTTCTCATCTAGTCTCCAAGTGTCCTACCAACACCGTACTTTTCTGTACTGAAACTCTTCATTGCATCAAACAACTTCGAGACCACGTTCTGCAACATATTATTTACAAGCAATGTTGTAAGTAGCCTTCACTACAACTAACACCATATGTGTAGAGTATTTATTGCCCACTTTGTATATCAAATATAGACTGGCTATCCGCAATAATTAGTCGAAATGACATGCACTATGCTTATATATAAGATGCTTGTAGGCAACCAGCAGGATACACTCCTCGAACAAGGCTTCGTGATAGTTGAAAATTATCAACAAGGTGTGGCAGCATTCCTGTGAAAGCTGGTACTACCTTTAAAAACTTTGGATTAATTCATTCACTAAGCACTTAGGAATGAGCTACACTCTAATTATGGGGGAAAATGATACTATTCAGTTGTCCAAACAGCAGTAGACGGAGTGTGGTTCGAACTTGGGACTCAGTGTTTTGACGGCTGAAAGCCTTTAAACACTAACCCACTTCCTCACTGGAAGATATAAATCCATTTTACTCGGTTTAATAGTCTGAAACGTTAATACTGAGCTACTCCACGAACGATTGACCACCTGTAGACCTGGGATATTTGTATTTATTTGATCACTGAGTTACTTACACCTGTTACTCTTCGTGGAGGATTATAAGCCACCCACCAGCACTCTCCATCAAACCATGTCCTGGACAATCCTTTCCAGTTATTATTCATCCTTTTCATATCTGTTTCTATTTCCCGATGTAATGTGTTGTTTGACCTTCCGTTTTTCCGCTTCCCTTCAGGATTTCAAGTTAGAGCTTGCCTCATGATTCAGTTTGGTCATTTCCGTAATGTATGTCCTATCCATTTCCAACATCTTTTTCTAATTTCCTCTTCAGCTGGAAGTTGGTTTGTTCTCTCTCACAGAAGTCTGTTACTGATGATATCCTGCCAATGGATATTGGGTATCTTGCGTAGATAACTGTTTATAAATACTTGTACCTTCTTGATGATGGTTGTTGTACTTCTTCAAGTTTCAGCTCCATACAGTAGAACTGTTTTGACATTCGTATTGAAGATTCTGACTTGATCATTGAATAGTAACCCATATCATTATACCCACTTCTATTTATCTGTCTATTATCTATTTTCTTTCAGCGTATTCTTAAAGGATGATGATGCCAAAAAAAAGTTCACTAGTAACTTTTCCCCAATTCTTCAAATATTGATTATCTCATAAAAATGACCTTATCAGTGACTCATTTCTTTTTCAGACAAAATCTTATTTTATATCCATTGAAACAAACAGAGAAATGATAATGTATGTCTACAAAGAGATAGAGATAGAGGTAAAGAGAGAGAGGGAAGGAGAGAGAGAGAGAGGAAGTGAGCAGGCATGATGATTAGTTTCTAGACAAGAACAGACTATTTAACCTTAAATTGACCTGAAATAGTTTATAGACAATTTCTTATTATTATTTTCAATGATGAATACAAAATATGTATGATTTGACTGAATGTTGATTATACTGAATGAATTTTCATTAGAGAAGAAAATCTTTTCATAGTTTAAACAATTAAATGATCTTTAACTAGACAACTATTAGAAACTAGGAAGCATCAAATATATATGTACCATATAAATCATTCAATTTGTGTGAGGGATGGAATACTACACAAGCACCCAAACTGAAATAGGTGGTTTTCTTAGGAGGTCACACTCTGAGTCTTTAATCTAGAGGTCTAATCCACAATGAAGTAGTCAGTGACAACATAGGACCAGGCACATATATATACATCGGTCCAAGTTGCCATACTTTATTAGCATGTTGGGAGATGTAGTCGCATGGTAGCCGGTGATAAACAATAGGTTTCCATGCCATTTATACCTTCAAGATTCTGGAGACTATATATGCCATTGGTTTGGAATCAGGGTTATCCAACTTCCGTAGGTGGATCCACCGTACCCCCCCCCCAACCTGGTTAAAGCACCGAACACTCGCTTTCCGTCCTTCAAATTCTTAAACAACACCCCTACCGCGAGAATATAATGAGTAGAACTTCCATGACAGTGGCTATATACACGTGGCCATATGAAAGCATTTTGGGAGGGGGGAGTGTACTCTCCCCATCCTCGGCCGTACCAGGGCATTTCAAGCTAGAAATGAATGTTATTTCATTGCAATATTTGTTTAAAAATATCAATATTCATCTATTCGTAAGGGTTTGAGTTATCGTGTTGTTGATACTCGATACTGGATTTTGATCAATCTCTGTTGTCTTTGTATATACTGAAAGAATTATCACAGTGTTACTACTTTTTTGTATTTTTAAGTTGTTACTTGAACTGAAATCCTCGATACTCGTTTCATATTATTTAGTACTCAAAAGTTGGATGTACCAGTGGTGATGTTCACAATGAAATTCGAATCTAGTGCTTAGGTTATATCGAGACATTCTATTCAACATACACAGATGTTTCCTAAGCTCTTTTAATAACATCAGGCTAAATCTATACGACAACTTGAACACGAAAGTGAAGGATCGAAATATGGAGAAAACGCTTTACGCCAAGGTTAGTTCATGTACAAAAAATCGAGGGTAGTTATAGCATTTCAGATGACCTTGGACTTTTGGAAAGTCCCGGAATCCTACTAAACATAGTAGCATGATAAGTAATCATCTAATCAGATATGTGATATGTGACTCTTCACTTTCTAGATGTTTCTGAAGGACTTTTATTTAATGTTGACTGGGTGAAATATTTCCCAGAGTTTCCAACGCCCCTCTGGACTTTCTTTGGGGAATATCTTGGGTCACCCCCCCCCAAAAAAAACTAATAGAGTTACAACTTTAGAAATCACAAAATGCTATTTTTTCAGGATGAAAAAGAATTGTTATAATTGTACATTTGATGCCCAAGTCGGCTGATATGGTAAGAGCAATAAGACAGAGTATCATATTATTACTATCTGCTAGGTTCAAAGAGAGTTGTATGCTATATATGTGAATCCTTCTCTTTTATTGGATCAGTGATTAAAGGGTTTAACCTTCACCCACTAGGTCACATGTTTGAAACTGCCCCCCCCCTAATTACTTACTTCGCTTAAGACAATAGGGTAGTATCATTAGTTTTCATACTTAAAGTATTGGCTCGAATCCCAATACATTAACCTGTATCTGATAAATGAATTGAAGATGTTTGACATTTTCATAAATTAACATTTGTTTTATGGAATCTATCAACTTACCAGACCATGGTTTACTACAAATTTTGCATTTGATACGTTTTAAATCATTTACTCGACCAGTGGCAACCAAATTTTCTGAATGCATACAATTCAAGCATAGAGCATGTAAATAACGGCATTGCCTAGTAGATGAATGATTTGTTGAAAATCTAGATGGTATACTACTATTGTTATTATTATTACCAGCACCTTGATTTGAGCTCCCACCCCCAACGGTACCAGTACTAATCATATTATGCTGTGTTGAATTTAATTGTTGCCTAGGTCCAAGACAACCAGGTGGTGGTGAGATAATCTTTAATGGAGCCAAAAGTTTCAAAGCTACTTCATTGATAGATTGATAATCATTTGTCGATGAAATTAAATGATTACTGATACTACTGTTATCAGTGTTGTTAGTAGTAGCATTGTGTGCCCGATGAGTTTGCTGTTGTTGTTGTTGTTGAACAGATTGATTTTGTATACCATTTGTATGCCAAGTGACCCGTAGGCCACCACCCTTACGATGACCTTCATTAGAACGATGACATAGTGGACTGATGAAAAAGATACCATCTATCACAGGAAAATGATCATAAATTGGCAGAATTTGTTGACATGCTAAACAGTAGACTTCAGAAACTCGGTGATTTGTTAACTGTGCTAATAGAAATGCACGTGTATCTTCATTTCCTGTACAACTATCATCATCCATTTGAATGAAATAAGCATTTTGTTTATAATTCGGTAAATTCTAAAATTAAGGTAATTTGGAAAATAACATTAGTACAACCAGAGAAACAATACTGTAACTATTGAAAAGTGTATAGTATTTTCCTCAGAATTATTATATAACTTATAAGTAAAGATGGATAGTGGGTAGCAGTGGAATACAGGACGCGAGTTTCGTCCCATTTGGGACTCGTCAGCTGGATATACCTGATTCTCTAAGTTGGCGTTCACGTTGGGACTTGAAACAAATACCGGTCGCTTCAAACTCCATCACGTTATCCATTTAGCTACTGAGTCCTGATAGCCACTTCCTTGTGCGATGGGGTGAAGTTTAAATTCACTTGGTATTAGTATAGGGGTTGTGGAGATTATTAAGTTTTTGATTGGGATCATGAACCGATTGATGTTAGGCCATCACTTGGTATTGTTTACCTAAGTTTTCCCATTGATGTTTAGGGCTGCAGCTGATTAGTCTCTTATTGCCATATGTGCATCCTGTGTGGATTGCCTTGTCCGAAGTGTTGGGGACGTTAGATCCCCAGAACTCACTTGGGAAAGTACCTGATTTTGTGATTCTATTTAGAAAATTTGAATTTCTTTGTCTTCGCGCAAAAGGCGCTCTTGTCACCTTCATGTCGTATTTCCCACTGGGAAATATCTTAAATGCTATTGGTTCGTTGCGTCTTTTAGTATGCTATTTGATAACTCTCCCCAAGGACGGTTTTGTGCTGTATATATACGTTTTGATTTGTGTTTGTTGTTACCACTCGTTTCTAGCTGTTCGCGGAATAGACTTCCTCATTCCAAGCTTGGACTTCTTCCTCTATCTAACGGGGCTGGGTCGCATCGAATAGCTAGCTTGTTGGTCTTTGTTTCCAATCGCAGTTTAAGTGAACTTGTAACCGCTTCAAACTTAGCATGAAGCAGACGGTACTTGGTTCGAGTCCCAGAGTGAACACCAAATCTGAGATTCAGGTTCAACCAATTGACGAGTCCCAAAATAGGACGAAACACGCGTCCTGGATTCCAATGCCAGCCACTATCCATCTTCGCTTATAATGCTTGTGAACTAAGGCATTATCAAGGCAATATGCACAGTGTGTAGCCCTAAATATCAATGGTAAGATTCACTATAGTCTTTCCAATTAAATGCATGAACTAAGCTATACAAAAACTAAGTTGGAAAAATTAGGAGAGACAATTATAAACTGATTATTGATAATAATGATGATTCACTTAATGGAACAGTTGTTCAAGACAAGTTGATACCATTTCCTAAATCTCCCTATAACTGATTAGTTATTAATGCCTCTATGGGAGATTTTCCTTACATTCTGGATAAATGATAGACAGTAAAGAGTGAATGAGAAAGCAATCACTGAATTTAAATATACAGTCTATCTATCAAGCCTTATGTTCTAGATTACTAGTTACTATTGACCAGGTCTCTTTACATAAATTTAAAACTAAAATTCGCATCAAATACTTCTAAGAAATGTTTTTAATAGTTGAGATTGTGAGTCAATTGAAGCTAGACCACCATGGAAAACCTGGAATTACTGGACGGCCGTTTCGACCTACTATGGGACTCCTAAGCAGTGCACATCCGCGATCCCGCCTCGAAAGATTCGAACTCAGGACCTATCAGTCTCGTGAGCGAGTACTTAACCTATAGACCACTGAACCAGCACTTCTAAGAAGTACTACACTGTTCAGAAAATGTGCAAACTAAGAATAATGCGCTGAAAAAACACCAACTCTTCTCGAGCTTTCCAAATGTTTCGTGAAGATTGTGTACACCGCAAGAATTACGCAAATATGACTAGAACAACTATCAGCCTGTTGCGTTGACGTGGAAACTTCTCATGAGCTGAATCCGCATAAATCATATACATACATAATATGTTACTAGGAAGATGATATAAACGTTAAACAAAAGCGATGGATCTGAAGAACCTGAAAACTTTTAGGAATATATGGATAAATGAAAACAAACATTGAAACAAGTGTATTGTAACATATGTGTTATACTTTATAATGAAGGAAACTAATTTAATCTGTATTTTATTTATACTGTTACTGCTTTTCACACTTGACCTACTTACTTTATTTAGTATCAAATGCATTTACACATCTAAAGCTTTCTTGTTACTCAATCAATCTATGCAAATATTGATTAATACTAAACGACTGATCAGTTGAAGTATCTCAATGGTACAAGAGAACATAACCCGATGAGAACGTCTCTGATTATTGTAACACTTAAAGTGATTCAATTTTGTCTTACATGAAGATTCAAAATACACCTTGAGGATAGGATAAGTGTTACCTACCATGAATCTTAAATAAAACAGACAAGGTGTCCTATTAAACGGCTACAGTCATTTAATACTAGTTTATCATTATCATAGAAATCCAGGTAGCTTTGTTTGGTCTTATAGTGCATTCTTTTAAACATTAACTAGCGAATTCATTTCATCCAGATTGTACTAGGATGAAATGATACCAACTACGTAGGACGTCTACTCTTTGAACACCAATTTTTTTCTTGATTTAAAGTCCTTTTGAATGATTTCTCTGTAACACTGTCGTCTTAGCACTTGGAGAATATGGAAACTGTTGAAACGATCGACAACCTTCGAAAACCAAGATATCCAGGAGGTTTCAATTAATTTATTTACATTTTATTTCAGCCCATCATTAGTTTACTCACGTTATTATCTGCTTTATTTCAATTCGATTCAATGAAATAAAACCAGATCTATGGAAAGTATTTATTTCCAGTTGACATCAGTTAGGGGGGGGGTGCCAACGGAGTCTAAATGAAATTCATCAATATAAACAGCAAGATGGTCATTAACTAATCACAGTGGATGACAGTTACTGAATATCGTGAATTAATTGAATTTGGAAATCTTCCTCTGACAGGATCCAAAAGTTCTGGAACTAATATTTACCAAAGTAATGAATGTACACCGTTAAATTGTCTTAAAATGAACAAAATAATTCTTCAGTACTTCTAGATCTTCAGTAGTATCTTAACTTTTATCAGCCCATAATCAATACCGTAAACAAACAAAACTACTCTCTATAAAAAAAGAATGTTCCTCAATCAGATTCAATCATTTCATCAATGATATAATTCATTCATTATTGATTATTATCATTAAACAACTAACCATGAATACATTGAAATCATTCCTTTGTAGAAATATATTTCCTTTGGTATTGACAACCTTTTTCATTTTCGTTTCAACATTACTATTACCATACCAATGTGTCATTCTTGATTTACCGATTGAATCATTTGACCATGAAGGATTCGATTTAACATTATGATGATAAGAAGTATTTGTAGTCGTCGTCGTAATAGTAGTAGTGGTCGCAGTATTAGTAGTACCTCCAACAGTTGAAGAGCAGATATTTCCAGAACCATCAGATGTAGAATGATGACGTCGACTACCAATCGCTGAAAGAGGTCTATTCATAAGATTAGTGTTACCAACATTGTTGTTGTTGTTGTCATTGTTGTTAGTCGTATTGTTATTCACAGTAGTATCTAAACTTCTATCAAAAAGATCATCCAAGTTTACAGTTGATGAATAACTCTTTTTTGTTGTTGGCATAGATGAATCAATCGAATACTTGATAACATCATTTAACATAGTTGCATCGTCTTTGTTATTTAATTGACGAAAAGATAGACAAAACAATTAAAAAACAAACACTATAAGTCGCATTCAAGATTTATCAATTATATTTGACAGTAATCTCTTAAACCGTGTACTCAATCATCTTTTAAAATCTCATGAAACTACTCGTTAGACTAATAACATTACTAATTGTAACGTTTGCAGCTTTGATTTCGCTGAAAGTTATTCAAGTGGGAATGAGTCAGCTATTTCATTTCATCATATGCTCACTAGTGACTAACTTTATGATGGATTTCATGCAGTTCTAGTGAGAAGTCTTGACCAGTGGTGCCTAATCCGTGTCCAGTGTGAGACAGTCATTCACTTCAAACAATGTATGAAGGGTTATGCAAGATCATGTATCGATTGAAGTTAGACATTAACACCGTTGGATACCGTCTCCATGGTGTAGAGCTTTAGTATTCACACGTAAGACCGAGTGTCCTGGCTTCGAGTCCCGTATGTAGCATCGTGAATGTGTACTGCTGAGTAATGCCACACTAGAGTAAAACGATCATCCATCGCTTCCAGGTTTTCAATGGTAGTCTAGCTTATATCAACTCATGAATTCAACTATTAAAATATTTCATTTATCTTGGAAGTCCTATCGACTCTGATTGGTTAGTGAGTAATGAAATCCTCATATAGTTACAAATCATTCCTAAAAGTAAGATGAAATGTCTGTCTACCTTATGAAACAGAGAAATACCAAACAAAACTTCTTTCCGTAATATTATATACCTGTAAAGCTGCATTTTTGAAGATAGGTTGCTAGTATTTATTCATAGATGCTTTCAATGTATTACTCTTGTGTAGTGAACTCACTGAGTAAGCAGTAATAAGTACAGGGTAGATGAAGTTTAGACTTGTGAAGCTCATCTGAATGATTTGTAGTAATTTACTGTGTTTCAACGAATCGAATGCATACCAACCAATAAGAAAGTTAAATGCCTTATTGTTGAGCTATTTTCTTCGCGAATGGTGATTTGAACCTTTGATGAAGCGTCACTTTCCTTATGATTTCAGAAGTGCTTCATTGACAAATGTCATCAACTAGAAAATCTAGGATTTGAAATTGGTGCTAATTGTCTTCACCCATATCATCTTTTTTTTAAAAAGAGAGATATGACATACTAAGGAACTTGGACAGATCACATGCTATCACAGAACTACATGGTAGGTAAGAGATCCAAGTGTTGAGGGACCATTGTCAATTGACGTATTATTCACTTAATCAAGGTCACCCCGATCACGCAAATCCTTGCCTTGACGAATCCAATTATATATGCTTATGAGTTGTGCACATTATTATTCAACCTTTAGGAACAGAACTTTCTACACAATCATCATAAGTTTTTGTCTTTTCATAGATAGTTAGTGAATTGTTAATGGATGACTGAATCGAAAAACAAAATATACTACTCATCACGATCGAATATATACAGAATAATTTAATTGTTGGATTCATGAGTCAATGGAAGCTAGACCACCATGGAAAACCTGGAAGCACTCGACGGCCGTTTCGTTCTATTGTGGGACTACTCAGAAGTAAGCATCCACGATCTCACCTTGCGAGATTCGAAACCAGGACCTGTCAGTGTCGCACGCGAGCACTTAACCACTAGACCACTGAGCCGGCCGGTATCCAACGGTATTAATGTCTAACTTCAACAAAATTTATACAGAATAAATATCATAAAATAATAAGTATTTACTTGGTAGTTTCCCTTTGATTAATGCTCTTGGTATTGATTGACCTGTTTGAATATTTGTAATTTCCCATGGTATACAATTATCTTCATTGCTTTTCATAATACCTTCTCCTTTCACTGATAACATGAATTGATCATATGAATTATCACTACAACGGCGACTAGGATCAACAGTATGTTCACCGGTTGATAAACCACTGTGATATCCACTACTCATACTACTTGATGTATTACTAGTTGAAAATTTAGTAGGATCATTTGTTTCACGACTTAATGAATATCGTCTGTAAATAGTTTGTTTGTTTTTGTTGTTGTTGTTGTTGAAAGGAAACAAGTGCAAAAGTACAAACACAAAATGAAGAAAAGTGACAAATGTTACAAATTCAAACAGGATTCATTCAATAAGTTCGGGTATCATTGGTTATTTCATCTTAGAATGAGATTCATTACCAGTGCAAGACTGATACCGCGCCAAATATTGAATGTAGGAACTTCAAATTTCCGGATAAGTGACAAAGCGGTACAACCTTAGGGAGTGATGAACCGCAAAACGAATGCGGTAACCAAGTTTCAGATGAATCCGAGAAAAAAGTCTTACATAACAAACTTTAAAGAGGGGGAGGTGTGAGGACGGTCCACAGGTGAACTCGAGGAAGCTCTAAGAAGCTCGGAAAGAGCCGAAGATATTAAATTCAATCATCTTTTGGAAGAATATTCCTAAATCACTACATGTAGCTTCCTTATTGGACAAATGCTAATAACCCCCTGTGTGCGGACTGGATAACTATAATGATGATTTCGTTCTTACTAAAAACTATAAATACCTGAGAGTTTTGCTCCATAATTGACACTGTTCGGAATAGCATTCCTTTCACTTGTCTTCTGTCTTCTCATTCGCGACTTGGAAAGCTTATAGAGCTCAAGTGCTCAAGTTATACGCGGCATATAAAAAATCTAAGCTCTAGATATGACACCGCTAGATTACTGAGCTGAGACCTGATGGTAAGCATTATTGAATCCAATCAATTTGCAACTGCTGAAGAGTCGCATACTAAAACGGAACACCTATCCAATACCTTTTTAATTTTAATGGCATATTAACTAAAATCAACCTGTGATAAATATTGCATAATAGATACATTTTTCTGATTACAAAGTGATTTTAAATAAGGACTAGCCCCCGAAAACCACAGTTTATGAGATGGTTGAAATCGACCAAGTGAGGACCCCCCCACAGCAACACAAACCGCTGGACATGAAAACTATAACTTATTTGAAACTATAGTGTATTTCTTATACCTATTTCTACTTCTGTTTTTAGATTCATCTAGGCCCCCAAATGCCCTGGTACGCTCGAAGGTGGGGAGAGTCAGCTCTCCCTCTCCAAATGCTCTCAAGTAACCACGTGCATACAACCACTGGTAGGGGATTCCTACTCACTGCCTTCTCTCGGCTGGGGTGTTATTTACGTAATTAAGTGGACGAAAATCGAATGTCCAACGATTTAAGAGGGTTGGTCAATATGGAGGATTTGTCTAGGAGAGTTTGGAAAACCCTCATTCCGAACCAATCGTGCACATGGTCTCCAGAATCCTGAAGGAACAAATGGCGTATGAACCGGTCGTTGGTCACCGGCTAACACAGAACCACATCTCCTGACGTTGCTTCACTGCCTTGTGGATTGTACCTTTAGGTCGAAGGCTTCGTGTGTAGCCCCTAATAAAACCACCCGCTTCGGTTTGGACACCCGGGCAGTATCACAACCTACACACAAATCAAGTGACTTGTGTGACGCATATCTATTTGGTGCTTCCTTGTATCAATATTTATGTGTTCAAATAAATAACTAAATAGGACTCATCTAAGTTGTATATTGTTGGATACTGTAAGTTATTATGATTGTTATTACATGTTAACATTATCCCATGTATTCAATGAGTCTTTAAATAGATTTCATCCCAAATTCTTTACGTGATTAAATGACCTACATTCCATAATAATGTTACATACTTCATTATAGTTCAATAAATGAAAAAAACTATAACACCCAGTCAACTGGATAAATACCAATTCATTATGAACTGAACTGTACATTTGATTGACATCAGTAAAACTTTATGACAACATTATTATTATTATCACGGTTATTGCAGTAGTAGTGTGGTGTATGCTATTGATGCCCACAGATATAAGTAATATGTATCACCAATCGAAAGTGGAATGCCTGAAGGCATACGGTTGAGAAAATCGAACGAGAATGAGAGAGAACGAGAACAGAGGGTGGTTGATATAGAAATGAAGGAACAATCAAGTCTGAGACAATTGATGGATACTTTGCAAATGAAGTATGGTTGTCAGATTTTACTAAGAGATTCTGTAATGTTGTGTTCAAATATACTTGGTTGTCCCTAATGATGTTCTCGTTCACTACAGTAGTACTAGTAGTAGTAGTAGTAGTAGTAGTAGTACTAGTAGTAGTAGTAGTAGTAGTAGTAGTAGTAGTAGTAGTACTAGTAGTAGTAGTAGTAGTAGTAGTAGTAGTAGTAGTAGTAGTAGTAGTAGTAGTAGTAGTAGTAGTAGTAGTAGTAGTAGTAGTAGTAGTAGTAGTAGTAGTAGTAGTAGTAGTAGTAGTAGTAGTAGTAGTAGTAGTAGTAGTAGTAGTAGTAGTAGTAGTAGTAGTAGTAGTAGTAGTAGTAGTAGTAGTAGTAGTAGTAGTAGTAGTAGTAGTAGTAGTAGTAGTAGTAGTAGTAGTAGTAGTAGTAGTAGTAGTAGTAGTAGTAGTAGTAGTAGTAGTAGTAGTAGTAGTAGTAGTAGTAGTAGTAGTAGTAGTAGTAGTAGTAGTAGTAGTAGTAGTAGTAGTAGTAGTAGTAGTAGTAGTAGTAGTAGTAGTAGTAGTAGTAGTAGTAGTAGTAGTAGTAGTAGTAGTAGTAGTAGTAGTAGTAGTAGTAGTAGTAGTAGTAGTAGTAGTAGTAGTAGTAGTAGTAGTAGTAGTAGTAGTAGTAGTAGTAGTAGTAGTAGTAGTAGTAGTAGTAGTAGTAGTAGTAGTAGTAGTAGTAGTAGTAGTAGTAGTAGTAGTAGTAGTAGTAGTAGTAGTAGTAGTAGTAGTAGTAGTAGTAGTAGTAGTAGTAGTAGTAGTAGTAGTAGTAGTAGTAGTAGTAGTAGTAGTAGTAGTAGTAGTAGTAGTAGTAGTAGTAGTAGTAGTAGTAGTAGTAGTAGTAGTAGTAGTAGTAGTAGTAGTAGTAGTAGTAGTAGTAGTAGTAGTAGTAGTAGTAGTAGTAGTAGTAGTAGTAGTAGTAGTAGTAGTAGTAGTAGTAGTAGTAGTAGTAGTAGTAGTAGTAGTAGTAGTAGTAGTAGTAGTAGTAGTAGTAGTAGTAGTAGTAGTAGTAGTAGTAGTAGTAGTAGTAGTAGTAGTAGTAGTAGTAGTAGTAGTAGTAGTAGTAGTAGTAGTAGTAGTAGTAGTAGTAGTAGTAGTAGTAGTAGTAGTAGTAGTAGTAGTAGTAGTAGTAGTAGTAGTAGTAGTAGTAGTAGTAGTAGTAGTAGTAGTAGTAGTAGTAGTAGTAGTAGTAGTAGTAGTAGTAGTAGTAGTAGTAGTAGTAGTAGTAGTAGTAGTAGTAGTAGTAGTAGTAGTAGTAGTAGTAGTAGTAGTAGTAGTAGTAGTAGTAGTAGTAGTAGTAGTAGTAGTAGTAGTAGTAGTAGTAGTAGTAGTAGTAGTAGTAGTAGTAGTAGTAGTAGTAGTAGTAGTAGTAGTAGTAGTAGTAGTAGTAGTAGTAGTAGTAGTAGTAGTAGTAGTAGTAGTAGTAGTAGTAGTAGTAGTAGTAGTAGTAGTAGTAGTAGTAGTAGTAGTAGTAGTAGTAGTAGTAGTAGTAGTAGTAGTAGTAGTAGTAGACCGGTCATTAATCACAAGAGCAAGAAAAAAAATAGTAAACAGACATGTATGATCAATTCACTAGTTATGGAAAAGAGAGTATGACTGACACACCCCTCTGTGTTGTACACACACATAGATACATAGATACTAACTTGACTAGATGACATCATACATAGAACAAATAAACATACACACACACACAGAACATACACGCGCACATACACATAGACAATATAAACGCATAACGCACACCTTTAAAAAAAAAAGTAATTTTACCGGACAAGTAACAACAAGAACATTTTCTAGAAAAAAAAATAGAAGAGTCAAAGGTCAAATGACAATGAAAAAGGAAAAAAAAAACGAGAAAGAAACCAAATAATAATTGACCTTAAATTTTGTTATTTTTTTAGGGTAAAGGCCATTTTCTATCCATGATCAATAGAAGTACATGGTGAATATTTAGTTTTTGTAACCAAAATATATAGAATGAATTGAATATAATTTGTACTTTTTTATTTATTTATTGATCAATTAGAATATTTCACTGATTGAAATTATGAGTCGATTGAAGCTAGAACACTATGGAAAACCTGGAAGCACTGAATGGCCGTTTATCCTAGTATAGGACTCCTCAGCAATTGCTCATCTATGATCCCGCCTCGGTAGATTCGAACCCATTACCTATCAGTCTCATGCACGAACGCTTAAACTTAAAACTACTGAGCTTGCTGGCATCCAACAGTGTTAATGTCTAAATTCAACCAATCCACGAAGTTGTGCCACCGTACACTATTGTCTTCAGTGAGTTCCTATCTCACAACAGACCTGGCTGAACTCCATTGGTAACGAATATTGAAAGAATACAAGTGTATATAATGATGGATAGTGGCTAGTATTGGAATTCAGTTTAACGCGTGTTTCATCCTATTAGGGACTCGTCAGCTGGATGTACCTGCACCTTAGAGAGTTGATATCCACTCTGGGATTCGAACCCAGTACCATTCGCTTCAAATACCATCGCGTTATCCACTTAGCTAGATAGATAAATTATGGATAACATTTGAGCAACGCCAAACTGACCTTGTGAATGTTTACCTACTTACTAAAACTTAAAGAGGATTATAAAACAGTATGAAGAATAAGGATTATAATTTACAATTGATGGTTAAGGATAGGAATTAGATTTACAATTTATCATCACGAATTGACATCAACTAAAATGCCAAGATGTTATTTAACCAAATGGATGAGTAAATTTCACGCCAAAAATCCAAGATCAATTATCTTATACCTAATTGATTTGTTCATAAATTATAATCTCACTCATACTATTGTTGCTAAATAAGTTTATAGTATTGTTAAGAGAAATATTAATGTATCTAAAATTAAACATAATTATAACCCCCAAAATTTACCCATATGTTGTAGTCACTAAGCTATGAATAATCTGTAAATTGTTTGTTTCGTTTTTTTCTTTTAATGAAACCTACTAATAGGGTTAGTAATTAACAACAAATATACAAAAAAATATACTGATTTGTATAATTGAAAATGGATAAGTGTATGGTGTTTTGTTGTTGTTGTTGTGGTGGTGGTGGTGGTGCTGGTGGTGGTGGTTGTTGAATGAATGAATGAATCCATTAATAAGAATAATGAATATAGTCAATATCAAAAGAAGTACTTGTCCAGACCTATTTGATATATTAATTAGTGTTATATTACATATATATCTGGTTGATAAGTAATAGACTTATCATTCCCTCTACTACTACACACACACACACTCTCTCTCTATCTTCACATCTCTGTTGACCACCTTGAAAAAAAACTTGAAAGGGAACCAATATATAACTAGACAAGCAATAAAACACCACATTTTTTCCCCAATATTAATGTTAACAATTGAGAATTGGGCTCCATTATACAATAAAAAGCTGTTTTTACTGTAAGAAAGTAAAGTGTATCACCATATAATAGTAATAGTAGTGGCAGTAATAATAATAATAATGGTGATAACATGGAGAAACATCAAATTACAAAATAAATATCAATGGATTTAATAACCATAGCAACTGTGCCTAAGGTCATAGTAAAAAGATTATTATCAACAGTATTAATATTACCATTATTATGTCAATAAAGTGAATGATTACAGAAAAGAAAACACATAATGGATACTTCACTTTTCATTATTAATATATAATCTTTATGATTATATGTAGTAAATTTTATTACTTCAAGATGAAATATAGATGCATTCAGCTGATGAGTTCCAAATAGGACGAAACGCTCGTCATGGATTCCACTGCTAAATACTATCCATCTCTGTTAATAATTCTCTGCATTCTTTCAAGTTGATGAATATGAAAAGCTTAATAGCTATGAATAAGCTTTATTGATCATAGGATTAGATTATTTTATTGTAAGTGGCCAAATTACAACATAGATCCTAGTTGTGGCTTACAAACATGATAAAAAGTCATTTAAATCATTTTTTAGACATATGGTCCATAAATATTAAAACCCCCAAATAACCAAGTATACCGTAGAGTGAAAAGGATCAACATTCCCTCACGAACTGCTCTCATATGATCATACGTTTATGGCCTCTACTAAGGAAGTCCTGCTTACTGCCTTCTCGTGGTGCTAGTACTGTTTACCGAAATGAGATGATAAAATACGAACGCCTGGAGCCTAACCTGGTTTGATGAATACGGAGAGTACATGTACAGTAGTTCGAACACCTTAATTTCAAACCAATAGTGTGCAAAAGTTGTAGAATCTCGATGAAAACAAATGGTATCTAAACCTATTATTGATCATCAACTTCTATACACAGGGATCTTTATAAGTTCTTCTACTACCTTGTGGATTAGACCTTTAGATTAAAGGGTTGATGAGTAGTTGTTTAAGAAGACAACCTTGATCGGTTTAGGTGACCGGGCAGTATCATAGTACGTGTTGTGTCTAAGCAACTCGAACAAAATTAACTACGCTCATTTCTAAACATTAAACATACACAAATGATCTTATCAGTAACTCAGTCAATCATTATTAGTGTAAGGTCTATCATGATTCTACAACTGTCCGAATTACAACACCACACTCCAGAAAAGTAAGTGAAAATTAATAGAATAATATTAGATCAGTAGTAACGAAAGTCTAAGCATTGGAATTACAGTTCAAAAGAGACATAAATCCTATCGAAGAATTGAAAGTCATGTATGATACAATCAGGTATGACGGCTCAACTGAACACTGGACTCGAATACAAGACCTTCGGGCTCGCGTGCGAACACTTAAACTCTTCACCACTGAGACGGTATCCAACGGTGTTAATGTCTAACTTCAATTGATACATGATCTTACACAACCATTCATCCATTGTCTGAGGTGGATAACTGTCTCGCACCCCACACGGATTAGTCTCCACTGGTCACGACTTCTCATTGGAACTGCAGGAAATCCATCTTGAAGCTAGTCACTAATGAGTTTATAATATATTATAGTTTAACGTAGATATTAGTTGATTTAGCCCACTGTACATTTGCATGAAGAGAAATCTCATTATTGGTTATTTTCAGTGGCTAATCGTTTGTTAAAGGAAAGATGAACAGAACAATATACCAATCACTGTAGTTGTTAACATTTTATGAGTGTAAGCGTACGCGACTGACAAGAAAATTTATGACAATAAATGCACATTCGGAAAGAAAATGGTCGCTGAGTAGTTTGAGCTGGCTATCAGTAACAGAGAAACAGTGATTGATGCTCTATACAATAAATTAAATGAACTCTATATAATGTTAAGGTACCATAAAACACATAATCTTCGGTAAACCCAGTAAATTTTCATAATTTGAATCCCGAATGGTCAGTTCGTCGTATTATGAGACTTCTCAGTAGTGGCTATTCATGACTCCACCACAGGAAATCAAACCTAGGATCTTCAGTCTCACACGATATCAAGTGTGAGTAAGGTACCAAAAAAATCGGAGGTGATTGCTCAGTATCGTGGATTGATTTAAATTAGACTTGGACATCACATGATTTCGGCTTAGTAGTCTGGGGGTTAAGCATTCTCATACAATTCTGTTGATCCTATTTTTGTTCTACAGTGAGGGTTCGTGGTTGTGAGCTGTTAAGGAGTTCGACATCGGGATGAAACGAATGTTCAGTGCATCCGGTTTTCCAATGATGATCTAGATAAGATCAATTCATCATGCAAACTGAAAAAATCCTACAAACTCCACAGATACCCCCCTTATGCTACGAAGAATCTAGTTATTGTTTAAGAATACTTGTGATAATAAGTAGTTTTGTCGAAATTTAGACCTCATCAATAATACACATTCATTATGTTTTAATGATAAGATTCACAATAAAATCTATATAAAATAGAATTTAATTAACTGCTAATTAAAGACTTTAATTAACACCTAATACTGTTATATAATATGGATTCATCTCAATCGTAAACTACGCTCGGTCGGTCAATCATTCATTTACCATTAAAAATATCATATGGAACTTAAATGTTAAAGACATTTGATTAATTGGACATGAAATAGTGAGCTTTCAATCATTTAATTACAAAGTTGAACCCTACTTACAATAAGATCAATAACCTATAATCGAATACATAAAGGGGGTATGTAGCTTAAAGCTTAGTAACTGAATTACAAATGAGAAAATTGTTGTTACAAGTAAATCTGCTGATCATGCTAAAAGAAGAGAGAAAGTCAAGAAACACATGTTTATAACTGTTCTTTATATATATAATCACGTGAAGATGATTTGTAGCTCAGATGGATGATTTTGATGAAGATATGTTCTCTGAGTCGGATGGTTTAATCGTGGAGCATTCATTGTTCTTCTGAACGACATTATCAACTTCAGATAGAAGTATGTGCTGATGATGTCATTCAGAAGAACGATAAAAGCTTCACGACCAAACCATCCAGTTCAGAGAACAAAACTCCATCAACATAATCATGTAGTATAATCAATGTGGTTTTATCTATGAAAATAGAAAGAAACCATTCTGATCGATACAAGGTAAAACATTCAACTTTAGGATAGAAAGGTCATTTTACAAACAGAAAACAGAAAATCAGTAATTATAAAGGAAAATATATAGAATATATTTAACAGTTGAAATCATGATGTGTATTTCATCTTATCTAGGATTCGTCAATTGAATGTACCTACATCCTAGAGTTGACTTTCATTCAGTACTTTTGGCTTCAAACGTCCAACCTGTTGTCCACCTAATTACTGAATCCGAATAGCCAATTACATATGGGAGTGGTATGAATTTCGCATTAATTTGTAATGGTTTGGACGAAACTGATATCCTGGATTCCACTGCTAACCACATTCTATCTATTCTATTTAAACTTGTGATATGATGGATAACAGTAAGGCGATCCGTACAGGATGTATATAGATCAACTAAGAGTGCTCAAAACTTAATCATGAATATCAGTAAGGGGGTAACTGAAAAATCACTTTAAATTAAATTGACTCAACAAAATAATTGATATCGTTTGCTTTCCTCTTCTCTTCTTATAGGTCTGCTAATAAACCTCCAATTATCATTTGAGACGTAGGGATTATTTCGAAGATTATTTTGGATTTGTAGGTAATATTCGTCACGAATTGACCTTAGTTACAGTATCAGTGGAGTCCAATGATCATTGGACAGGCTTTATGTTCTCTTATAAGACTTTTCAACAGTATAGAAAAGTAATAATACCTCCACAAGATGAGTTCAATAAGTTCTGATCTCATGATAAGCTTATAATCCTTAGGCCACTGAGTTGACATTCAATATTCTACAATCCCATAGTTCTTGTAAGATTTGATTGGTGTGGTACAACGATATCAGATATGAGACAAATTAAGGATTCATTATTATGACAGAAGTTATCAGGGTAAATCTGTGGTGATATCATTGATGAGTACTAGTTATTGAGTTCCATACCAGCATAAAACAGTTATCTCGTGCTCCATGATTTTCTCAATAGTTTTTCCTAGCCAAAATCAATCAATCAATCATATAGATAATCTTTAAAAATAAAGTGTTAAATCTATAAATAAGATTGTTTTGTGGTGTGAGCTACTTATATCCACATAAACAGTACATAACGATGATCAGGCATAGAATGTATTTCAGTAGAAGATCGATAAGGAAAGAACGGAAACGGAATGCAATTGATATATATGAAAATGCATGAACAATCAAATCTGAGATGATGAACTGATATTTGCAAAAGGAATAGTCAAGTTTGAGACGACGGATTGATATTTGGCAAATTAACTAGTGACTATATGATTCTCAGATTTTCGTGAAATGCTCGAATACATTCAATTATCCCCACTGATGTTCTTGTTCACTTAGGTTTTACTAATATTAGCATACTATTTGAAAAACATATTTGAGAATCATATTCCTGAACACTATATCTATGTTAATAATAGGAGAAAATAAGAATATAACATTTTAATAGGATAAAATATCTATTCATTTCTTCCAAGTATCTAATAATGATCTAACTAAGATCAATTCATGATCTAAAACAATAACAATTCAACAATCTCCATGTATATCAATCCATTTATAAATGAGATTTTCAAAAATTAATGTATATATACATATATATACATTGGACTTACTATATTTACAACCTGGAGTAGCGCATAACACTTGAACATCAGAATGTAATGATTGTAAATCATTTTCATCATTAGAACAAACACAACATACATTGATTGGTACTGCACATGTATTCATAGATTGTTGTTGTTGTTGTTGTTGTTGTTGTAAATCAATAATAGAATGTACTAATTCACCACGTATATCTTCATTTATACCAGTTAAATAAGATAATGGATGAGATAGACGTGTTATTGGACAATATTCATTATTTATATTGATACGTTGTTCTTCTGACATTTTAATATAACAAAATAATTAAGTAAATTTATATTTGAGTTATATCTATTTAATATCATCATTATACAACTGTCTATAGTTAAAGACAGTTGCCAACTATATTGTCAATCATTTACATTCTTATTTCTTCTTCTTCTTCTTCTTTTTTATTCAAGTTGTATGATTCCATAACCTTAATCTTCAAAAGAAAAGGATAGTAGGAAAGTGTGTGTTTTTCTTCCTAAAGTAAAAGTATCTTTATAGAATATTAAGAATAGATATATATATGTATCTATGTATGTCAAATGGTTGATATTCAAAATACTTCATTCTTGATTACATAATCATCATCATCATGATCATTATCTTGATTGAGAGTACTTTGAATTTGTCCGAATAAAGGTCATATTTATGTGAATCAATTCTATACTGTACTTTTCTATTGAATGAATCTGCTAATAGGAATAAAAATTAACCAATAAGAATTGAATTTATAAAAATACAAATAAATGATTGGTTAATTCAAAAATAAATAATATAAGATAAATAACCAATAAGAATTTAGCAAAATAATTCATTTAACCAGTTGACAAATAAAGAAACCACTAGGTCCTGAGTTCGAATCTCACAGGGTGGGGGATCGTGGATGCTCACTGCTGAGGAGTCCTATACTAGGACGAAACGGCCGTCCAGTGCTTCCAGGTTTTCCATGGTGGTCTAGCTTCAATTGACTCATGATTTCAACCTGTGAAATTTCTAAAAATCTCCACAAAACCCATTCTGATAATAATCAACTGCTCACTAGTGACTGACTTCAGAAGATACTGCTGGAGTTCTAGTGAGAAGCTGTTAATAGTGGAGTTCAACTTCGTGGATTGGTTGAAGTTAGACATTAACACCGCTGGATCCCAGCCCAGTGGTCTAGTGGTTAAGTGCTCTCGCGCGGAGCCAGTTGGTCCTGGGTTCGAATCCCGCGGGGTTTGGGGTCATCGCGCACTGCTGGGGAGGTTATCTATTCATTTCTCTTTCATGTTATTAAGATAAGCATCAGAAAGGATTTTGTGAAGATTGTAGTAATTTCAATAGTTGAGATCATAAGTCAATTGAAGCTAGACCATCATGGAAAATCTGGAAGCATTGGTGTTGTGAACAAAAAAACAAGAAGCTCTAACAAACTACGAAAGCTATTTTTTTCGGGAAGTTATTTCATTTTTTTCAAAGCTTGTAAAAAAACTGACATTTATTTTTGTCCTTAATTTATTCTACAGAACGTAAGCTTTCGTTTGATGTATGATTCATTGCCATACCCCTTTTTTGTTCCGAAGCTATTGTAATTTAAACATAATATTTTGCACCCTATTTTCTACTGTAATTCCCAGCTTTGAACATAATTGTATTTTTCTTAATTATTTTACGCTGTGGTCGGGTTATTCACTTATTTATCCATGTACTTTTCTACACTAATCCGAAATGAAATCAGGATATCGGGAATAGATCGAGTAGTGTTCCAGTTGTCTTGTCTTTTCTCATTCGCGTGCTTGTCAGCCAATCAGCTGATAGAATAGTTTTCTTCTTTCTACCCCACTTCAAACTCACGCTTACTAGCTTCAAGGTTAGGTCGGTCAGTCTATTGCGCCAAGGTCTTAATCTGAATTAGATAAGTATCCTCAGCACCAAAAGCGGGTAGACAGACCAGAGGACATAACAACTGGGCGGCCATCTCGTCCTATTGTGGGACTCATAAGCGGTGCGCATCCGCTCAGTGGTCTAGTAATTTAAGCGCTCGCGCGCGAGACTGACAGGTCCTGGGTTCGAATCCCCCTAGGCGGGATCGAGGATGCGCATTGCTGAGGAGTCCCATAGTAGGATGAAACGGCCGTCGAGTGCTTCCAGGTTTTCTATTGTTGCCTAGCTTCAAATGACTCATGATCTCAACTATTAAGATAAGGTTTGAACATGATTAGTTTTTTCCCTCCAATAAATTTTACTTTTACAATTTGTCTATGAATCAATGAAAATAAGTAAAGATGAATAATGGTTAGCAATGAAAGTTAGGATGAGAGTTTCCTCCTGTTTGGGACTCTTCAGGTGGAAGTACCTATATCCTAGAGTTGATGTTCACAATGGGACTCGAACTCGGTAATATTCGCTTCAAATGATATTATGTTATCCAATTAGTTACTGAGTCCTGAAACGAACAGTATTGAGTTCGATTTATAGAGTGAACATCAACTCTGAGATGCAGGTACATCTAGCTGACGAGTCCCAAATAGGACGAAATATGCATTATGTATTCCACTGCTAACCACTATCCATTTTTGCTTAGAATACTTGTGAATTAAGGCAATATCTAGGCTATACGCACAGTATGCATATATGTCAATAAGGGACTGCAATTCTAAATAACAATGGGGAGATACGAGTAGACAATAACAAGTGAATTTGAATCAATGAAATGTTTACTTTTGAAAGAATTATGTGTTTACTGGTGATAACTCTGAGCTTCTGTCAGAATTTGTGATTAATGCATTTCAACTATGTCAAGTATGAAACCACTATGCACAGAAAACATATGTTCTGCAACTGTAGAAATGATGTTCTTGCTTTGCTAATCTGTGCCTTCACATACTCATCAAATCTTCTTTATTAATCGATGATGCTGTCCGCGTACGTGAAGTTTTCCACCTGTTCCAGAGCTTCTCTATCAAGTGTGATTGGATTAGTGTTGTCCGTGTTGTATTTCAAGATCTTGCTTTTCCGTGGTGTACGTTTAGGTCTACTGATGCAGAGACTGCTGCTACACTGATTGTCTTCGTCTGCATTTGTTGATATGTATGGGATAGAAGAGCTGGGTCATCTAACAAGTTCACAAAGTTCAGCTGCATCCAAGCCGTCCATTGTGTTTCGTACTTCCTCATAGTAAGTTAGTATATAACACAAATTAAACTGTAGACAGATTTGACTAAATCATTCTAACGTTTCTTTGTTTCTAATTGATCCATTCTGTTAGGTTTACAAAATGGTAAGGCTCCAAATTTTGATCAAATAAGAACAGAGAGAGATACTTTCCAATTACAGGAGGTTAAAAAAAGATAGTTAGTAGGTGCAATCTTTATTTATGTGGAAAAAATAGGAGGCAACAAACATACCTTCTCATAAGCAAAGACAGATAGTGACTAGCAGTGGAATCCAGTTTGAAGCGCGTTTCGTCTTATTTGGGACTCGTCAGCTGGATATACCTGACTCTCTAAGTTGGCGTTCACGTTGGGACTTGAAACAAATACCGGTCTGTTCAAACGCCATCGCGTTATCCACTTAGCTACTGAGTCCTGACAGCCACTCGCTTATGCCAATAAGAGAGAGAGAGACTGATCGATTGCAGTCCTAAACATCAATGGGAGGATTCAAGTAAACAATACCAAGTGAATTTTTCTCATTGATCGCATAATTGAAGATGAATGAGAAGAAATTTGAAATGTAAACAAAAAGTCTTTCAAAGAATTTATGTCATTATCATGTAAAAGATTTTGTTTGTGAACATTGAACTTGATGTGGAGATTCTAACCAATCAAACTTAAAGAACATTGTAGAATACATTCTTTCGGATCGAACTTCAAATGGGTTTATTTCTGTAGTTAACAATTGAGTCATGAATGTATCAAGGAGAAAATAACTTTTTGAGACCCCTCAATGTTTTCGAACACATCTTGAAGTATTCATCATTGAGTATGTCCAATGATGAATGCAAAACATTCAACAGTTTAATTTAATAGTTGAGATCATGAATCAATTGAAGCTGGACAATCATGGAAAACCTGGAAGTAGTGGACGACCGTTTCGTCCTAGTATAAGACTCCCCAGCAGTGTGCATCCACGATCCCGCCCGCCCTGGACTCGAGCTCAGAACCTAACAGTCTCGCGCGCGATTATAGATTCCCTATATGTTGGGGATGTTAGATCTCCAGAACTCATTTGGTAAACACCTTAGTTTTGTAATTCTATTTTAACGATTCAAATTTCTTGTTTTCGCGCCAAAAGCGTTCATTTTCACCTTCACACCGTGTTTCCCACTTGAGAGGAACTTAAATCCTCCTAGTTTGTTATCACCTTTAGTATTTTATCTTGTACCGTCTTCCAAGGACATTTTTATGTTGTGTATATACGCTTGTTTTGTGTTTATCGTTGTTGTTGGTGCTTCTGACTGCTTGTGAAATATATTTCCCTCCTTCTAACTTGGAATTCTCTTTCCAGTTTGTGAGACACTGGGACGCATCAGAATAGCTAGCTTATTGGTTATTGTATCACAGAGTTTTTGTTCCGTTCTCAGATTAGGTGAACTCGTAATCTCTTCAGACACTATATTGATTAATAAATTTAAACAAGTTCACTTTGGGAAATTCATCTAACCAAAAAATGAAGTGTCATTGAAAGACCTAATATGATTTTGAACTATACAAACATATATATTATGAGCAGATATGGATAATGGTTAACAGTGGAATCAATGATGCATGCTTCTCGAGGTGAATATCAGCTCGAAAATGTAGATATATTCAGCTGATTAGTCTCAAATAGGAAGAACTGCACATCTTGAACTCCATTTCTGGCTATCATCCATTTCTAATTTTTGTGACTTAATGGCGATATCGAGCAAATCTGCACAGAATCCATGTATCCTAAAAGAAACTGATCAATCAAAGTCTTAAACATCAATGGGTATATATATCAGTCAGTCAGCAACAACGTGGAACTTCGTACGTACGTACATCAGTTCAAGTTGCCATACCACATTAGCACACGGATAGAATTGTCGACTCAAATTCCATAGTGCTAGAGGTAGTAAAAGTATAAGCAATAATCAGAAAGATTAAGGTTTGAAAATGTTATTCAAGGAGTATAATCCAGTGAAACAGGTTTGGAAAGAGAAAAAAAAGGAAACATGAAGAATTCAGAAGATTAGAATTTGAGAGAACATAAAGAGTGGATGCATGTCACGTCATTCAAGGTCTCTAGGTATCAGTTGCTATCGCCTCGCGGATCCCAACCACATAGTCTACACCGACCTAAGTGGTTCAGTCCACTTGTTAGTGACTTCATAGATTTGTGCCATGTTTTGGTCTGACCGCCCCTAGCTTTCTTCCAACCTACTCCTACACCATAGAATGGGGCAGTCGGTGGTTTGGCATACGCAACACATATCCCAGCCATCTCAACTGAGGAGGTTTCACTACTTCATCATTTGAGTTGCCATCCTTACCTAGTACCCGTTTCCTAACAACTACATTACTTACTCGGTTGTCTCAGGATATACGAACAATGCTTCGAAGACATCTATGATTGA